CCTGGACCCCATTTTGAAGAGGCAGAGTTCCTATCACTGACTCCTGGGATGCACCAAGAATCGCCAATGTCCAGGCCCGAACTACGACAAGCTCCACTCCCCGCCCTCACTCCCCAAGCCAGAAATCAAAGGAACTAGGAAGTCTTGCTTCGGAGGACCTAGCAGTCCTGGAAGGAGACCTCTAGGAGCGCTGGCTCCTGGATGAGCCTGGGTCCCCATCAGCAGCCTTTCCTAATGAACAGTGACCTTCGCCATCCCTGTTCGCAGCCTCCATATCAGATCTTGATGTGGGGGCTGGAGGTGCCCTCAGAGAATATCCAGGTAGCTAAAAATCTTAAATATCAGAAGTTTAGGCCTAACAGTCTTATTCCAGCCAATGTCCTCCTCTCAAGACCTCCTCCTGCCAATACCAGCATTCCCAAGCCAACCCTCTGCACCGGAGACGCCTGGTGCCCCCAGTCCCTTAGGGACAGGTGATAGCTGTTAGATCTCTGCAGAAACCCCAGCTGGTGCTCTATGCCACAATAGCACTGTGTGTTAAATAGACACGTGCATCTCCTAATTCAGAGGCGCTCTTTTAATTAAAGGGAGGGGGAGAGAGAGAGAGGCAGACTGAGGAATCTGACTTACCTGCAGTCGATTTAGTGGACAGTTTCTGCCACCTACTGGAAAATGTAGGACGTGCTATGCGGAAGTTTTGGTGGTCGCAGTGCCTGGCGTGTACAGGGGGCCCGATACCCAGCGGTGTGGAATCTCCTTCTTTTACTTACGAAAAGCTTGGGAGTATTGCCACCTTCACACCAACTAGCTGGATGTGGATGTTTTTAAGCGCCCTTTTACGGAGGACCCCAAATATTTCCTACAATGTACTTTAATTCTTACGAGCACCTCTATTCGTATTTCTTAAACTCCCCAACTTGAGTTTGTCCAGAATTGTTCCTGAGTATACAAGGCAATTAACAGACTGTAACATCTCCCTGAACTTTCAATGTCAGAGTGCCTCCGGGATCCCTGATTGGATCTTTCCTGTTTTTTGTTTTTAAATCTCCTGCCCTGAAGATCTTATCTATGGCTTTCAATGCCATCCACACACACATCTGCAGCTGACATCGCAATCTCCAGGTCAGACTTCTCCCTGCACCCCAGACTCATAGATTCCACTGTCCACTCAGCACCCTTCCTGGGTGTCTCATGGGCACGTCCATCCCGGCTGGTCTGAGCCTCTGCCCGACTTTCAGCGCGCCCCTCTCCCTGCGGTCCCCCCACCGCATACACAGCCATGCCTACTCCTCTGGCTGTCTTCTCATTTCAGTCTTTGGGAGTCTTTCTTTGATTCTCGTCCACGCATCACACCTCATGGGAAACCCATCAGGACATTCCCTTGGCTTTTTTGGGAATCCTGGTCCCACCACGGCACTGCAGCCATGCTGGTCTAAGCCACCGCACCTCTCACCTCCATGAGTCCACCCTCATCAGCACGGCCCCCACCGACTCGGCTCAGAAGCACCCAGAGGTGTTACCTCTTTGATCATCAAGTCACTCCTCTGCTTCAAACTCTCAGTGGGTCCCCACGCCACCCAGAGGAAGAGCCCAGACCGTGCCGTGACCTCCAAGGCTGTCCACCTGGCCCTCAACACTGTTCCAACCTTCTCTCGGACCACCCTCCCTTCACTCGTCACCCCAACCAAAGGGTCTGGTTGCAGCCCATGTCAGGGCAGCCTCCCATGCCCCTGACCACCACCACCACCACCACCGAACATCTTACTCACCCCCTCCGTTTGTTTAGTTTCCTTGGCTCTTACCACCATGGACACACACTGTGTTTTACTCCTCCTGTCTCCCGCTTCCGTCTCCTTCCCCCGCCCCTCGGCCTCAGTGGGAGGGGCTTCAGCTGTGTGCTCCTCGTGGTAGCTCCTGCCCCTACACCTGACACCCAGCTGGAACTCGGTGTTTAATAAATGAATCACACATTTAGTTCATTTTAATGGGTGGGGGAAGGTACTAGATATTAGAAAAACAAGGCGAACAGACTTGGTAGTTTTATTTTCTGATGTTAAAATGGCTACCTTTTAATATACTTATTACATTTACACACTAATCACTTCATTTTATTTTAATTATTATTTTTACTTGAAGCCCATATAATTTTATTAATCAATGTCACCCCAGTAAATTTAATTTAAAAAATAGGGTTACCTGAAAATAGTACTTGGTTGAAAGATACATTTTTTGAATGTCAATTTTTCACTCCGACTAGTATTCTCAAAGAACATAATAAGAATGCAAAGAGTTGTTTATCTAATTTTAAAGTCAGCTGTGATGTGGGTCCCATCAAAAATCCTCTGAAACACATTATTTAATCACTTCATTTTAATTGACCCCTCCACTGAAACCCAGCATTATAATCTGTATCGACAAAATAACACACTAGTCCTAGATCTTAGCACTAAACTTCAGGATGGTTATGAAACAGATTTTCCTAGAGTTCTTGGTTTCCACCCATCAAGAAACATTTCAAATGAGCCAGGTTAAAATGAAGCCAGGAGCTGACATTTGAGCCCATCAGCACGGCCCCCTGGGCCTCTGCTGGCCGGTCTGTCTTCCCTGCTTCCACGGTCGGGGCTTCCCCAGGCAGTCCAAGTAGCAGACCTGTGGCGGCAGTGATGGGCAGGACTTGTACGGCCCCACGGGTCCTCCGTCTTCACTGACTTTGAAACGCTGCTTCCACGCGCACATTAAAGGTGAGACATGTAGCATTTCCCACAGCACTGTTACTCTGGAGAAGAGGGAACTGTTTCTGAACATGGTTTCATTTCTGAGTATACTCACAGAGCATTGAAAAGGCCAGCTCAAGATTCCAAAGTACTAAGTTTTCTAGAGTCCTGTACAGTGTGATAAGCTCTCTAGCTAGCTTACCACAGTCCACAACTTACTTATCATGTGGATAATAAGTACTAGGAACAAGATGTACAAGCCAAGTGAAACCCTATCTTGAGATTAAGAGGAGGTAAGTACCAATAAACATTGAGACCAAATAGATCAAGGCATGTTGACTGTTTAATGAACTCACATAGCATAAAGCAACGGACATACATGTCATTTTTAAATGTTACTGTGAAAAACTAATTTTGCATGGCATTTAAATGCATGGCATTTTACTGGCTTAATAAATGTAAAAATATTTATAGAAAAGCAGATAAAAATGCCAGTGGAACTGTTAGTAAAATGACTTTTATTTTCATAAATAAAGATAATCCATTATACAAACAATACCTGTAGCAGAACGCTAGCTGTCCTTATCTTCCTGAAAGGAAGTGTGAAGTGTATGCAGTACCTAATGCAGAAGCGACATCTCTCTGTACCCTTCCTGCAACCTCCCTAGATTCCCAATCCTGTTTCAATGACTATGATGAATAATGGGATATTCTAGTCACAAGGTGTCTCCTTTGTTGAGTCAACAACATATTTATCTGCTAATGTCAAGGCTGCCCATTATGATGAAAATACCTGTATTTATGCCATCTTTCGGAAGCTCGGAGCATCTGCCCCGTCTTCACTCCATGTATGGTAGTACGACCCACAGTGATGTCGAGTGAAAATTTAGCGACTCGGTTAACACGCACTGGTACCCAAGACACACTGAGTTCTCGAGTGAGATGACGGCATCCAGCACAACTGGCCCTTGTCGGTTAACGGCGAGTAACAAACAAATGGTTTTGTGATCAGAATGCGGCGAAATTTAATTAAAACATTTTTACTACAGACAGCAAACTTAAATGTCTGTTCAGTTGTAACCCCGCTTATTCTGGAAACTGCAGGTTCAACTATAAAATGTTTTCCAGCAAGGAGCATTTCATATGTTATTTTTGGTACCATTTCCATGTATTTTAAAAAATACCATGTGCCTTTTATTGAGAGCATGAGTTACAATTGAAGTAATCACGTACGCGTCCACAACACTGATTCCGATGGGCACGATCTGTGTACTCTTCGCAGGGAGATGGTCCCCACTGTTTCTCCCTTCATGCGGACTGTGCGCTCTTCTCCGGGCTGCCGAGTGGACTCCAGCATTCACCACCCAAGGGCTCAGCGCGGTGCCTCGAACACAGTAAGCTCTCGGTTTACACCACTCCAATGATTTTTATTAGGGGAGCCAATCCATTTGTAACAGGAAAATCAGCTAACGCTGCAGGGGCATCATTGAAAGATGATAAACCTACAGATGTATGACTTCTGTGAATGTATTATGCACCTGCTACATCCCAAGTCTGTCTAGACACTAAACTGTTTCAAACATTACAAGCTATCTTTCGGATCATACTGTATCTGTATGCTTTATTAGTTTTTGTGATGGCCTATGGCCTGAAGCAACATAATTCTGACAGGAGGTGTGTTATTAGAAAACCACATAAAAGTCAGGTACACTGAAATCGGGTAACGAAAGCACTGTACGGTAACGGCTTAAAGAAGTAGAGTTCCTGGTGTAATTCAGAACAGCTCACCTCCTTTAGGACTGAAGTTTTTCTTTACATCAGGCAACATCTCACTTCTCCTAAACCCTTTCCCTCTGTCTCCCCGCACACAGAAACCCTACGAGCCGTCTCTGGGTTCTGTCCTCGAAGTGAAACGCTCGTGAGAAAGGAGCTGGCAAAAGCCCCTGAGGGTCCCACCGAGACCGCAACGAGGAGCAGGGCCACCAGGAGACCAGTGCTCCGACAGCCCCTGTGTCCCCACAGACGCTGACTTTTGAGCAAACTATGGACTTGAACGTACGTTAAGGGGCTGGGTATAAACATTTTCTGATCTTTAACTAGAAGGGACATTTTTTTCCACTGGAAAAGAAAACTAACTCAGAACATAAGCCTGTGCTACAACTCACAAAGTGGTGATGGGGAAAATGTCTAAAACCAACGCCTGCCATTCTCCTGGTATCAAGTAAGAGGAAGGGAAATGAAAAAGCTTTTTTTGTGAAGACAGAAAACACACCCAGAAACACATGATTCTGGTCTACAGTATGTTAACCTGTAGTATTACTGGCCAGGGTGCGGGTTGGGGAGGAACCAACCCTCAAGCACACTGTTCGGGGGCAGAGTGACGCCTTTCCCGTGTCCTGGCTGAAAAGGAGTGTGGAAACGAAGTGGGAGCCTCTCCAGTGGGAAAAGTCTAGACCTAAATGAAGGCAGATGCCCGCTGGGAGCACTGAATGATCCGACAGGCTCCAGAGAAATCCTCTCCAGAAGTGCGAACTGCAGGCCCGTGGTCCAGCTCATCTCCCAGCAGGGAGACCGTGCGCACCTTAGGAGACAGAGCACCCCGTGTCCTTTTGAGGCTTGACGTCTGGCTCCTTCACGGGTTTCACCGCTTCTTCCGGTTTGGCTTTGGTCTGTGGAGAAAGCAAGATGCGAGGTGAGAACACACACTAAGGTTTGGAAAACAAACACTAGCTCTTTCCACTTGTGACTTTTAAAAGCTGCTACATCAAATTATGTAACATTGAGACGAACACAGCTGTTCCCAAAGCTACACATCCATTTGACTGCAGACAGGACTGGGAAGCCACAGATGGGGACCAAACCCCGTGGGCGGCACGAATCAGGCTAATGCTGCTGTCTCGGAGGGAGGAGAAACTAAGTGGCAGATTGACGCGTGAGGAGCCCTTCCGTGTGGAAGTTGCTCGTGCTAGTGACGGGCTACGTTTTAGGGCATCATTCTGGAGGCTGAACAGGATAGAAAGACTCTTCTTGTAAGAAATAATGGTTTTAGTGTGTGTAGAAAATTACATAAAAATCATCCAATTCAAGGAAGGATGAATTCCCACTCCCCTCAACCCTGGCCACCACACAGATCCCTCCGAATTTTGGAAGTCAAACCTCATTTCCACCTAATCTATCATTTGACCTAGTACACAAAGGTACTTTGATATAAGTGAATGAAAGCAATCTTATTTCTAGCCCTGCACAAGTTCACAGACTGCTGAAATTAGGCCAAATGTTCAATCACCCTGCACTACGCTAAGTCAGAAACAGAGAGTGCTGCTGTAGCCACAGACAAGGGGACAAGGCATCCTTTTCGGACCTGCGCTGTCACGCTCTGGTTAAAGGAGGCTCTGACAAACCAGAGAAAAGGAAGACAATGCGCTGAAAACGAGGCCAGGCAATTCGGCAGAAAACCGAAGGCAACGGAGCCTGGAGTCCGGTTCCGAGACTCCTCTGCCAGAGCCCACCGGGCACGGCCGCGAGCCCACCGGGCACTGCCGCGAGCTGGTTCACATTCGGAGAAACACACACCTCCGCTTATAAAGAGAAAAGCGTGGAAACGCAGGCTCTGAATTCTAGTTAAACGCTTGTGAATGAACGGAAAACCCATCACATACGCTGTCATCCTTGGGTCTTTTGGTGAGATCAAACGCGGCCAGCGCCTCCGGGGTCCAGTGCGTGCTTGTGGGAGGAAACTCGAAAGGCACAGGCTCCACGAGACCGTAGTTGGCTTTCAGTTCCAGTTGCGGGGCTTCCGTTGGAATTTTCTGAAAGTAGCTGCAAAAAGCCATGTAAACAGCAATGTATTCATTTATTCATGTACTGTGAACTGCCTACGACGTTCAAGGCCCTGTGCAAGGAAAAGACCGTTTACAGTGAACAAGACAGAGAAGACTGTCCTGCCTCATGCAGAGAGCTTACAGGTGAGCGTGTGAGAGGGTCCAGAAACCTTGTCAACGCCAGGGCACGCAACTGAAGCTGAGACGGCCGCAGAGTGTGGTGAGAACACCAAGGGGGTGATGAACTCGGATCTGGAGGTCGGGTGCTTTCCCACGGATGAGACAGAAGTTGAATGGGGCATGCTTACGGGAGAGACGGCCCTCGGTCTGGCCACATGCAGGTGTAAGGGGAAGGGTGGAAAGAGGAAAAAGCAGGGACGAGATGCGGGTTGGTCTTGCAGCCTGCTGTAGGTAAGTTGTTTGTTTCGTATTTGCTGTTGGAGCTTTACTGAGAATGCTAAAAAGAAGCCTGATAGAAATGAACTCCACAAAAAATGTACAAGACCTACGTGAAAGAAATTATAAAGTGTGACTGAGGACCAAAAAGAGAGACCTCACAAAATGGAGAGGTGCAGCAATTTCTGTAAGGGAAGGGACTGAAATGACGGGGACCGTGCTTTTATCTTCTTTACACTTCACTCTCTAGTTTTTCCACATGTGAGCACAACAGTTTCCCATTATTTCACAGTTTTTAAATCCGAACTTTCGAAGTCTTTTAACAACATTGTTATCTACCAACCTCCATTGGTGGCGATCCACAGTTTGACCACGGCTAGTTTAACAACAAAACAGGCAGAAGACAGACAGACAGACAGACAAAACTGGGAGAAGATTTAGTTTCCCTGCTTTAGAGGTGGCCGAAGCCAGGGCGAGAGGAGCGCGTGAAGGAGATGCGAAGGCGGGTGTAACACGTGGAGAAAGAGCGGCAGGGAAACCAGGAGAAAATCAGGACAGTATCGGGGGCTACGTGTTAACAATTCTTGTTGAAGTTGTAAAATCTGCTTTGATATTTCATCATCAGAAGCAGAATAAAAGTTTAACACAAGTGAACTGTATTACTGGTGTAAAGAGAAGACTATGCCAACATGAACTGCAATGTGACATCAAGTCTTTGGAAACAGATCAATGCAGAGATCACAGACGGAGTCCTCCTCTCTGTGGACGCCCAACGATGCATCAGAAAGTTACAGGTATTTACAAAAGTAACAAAAGCCCCACGGATACAGGGACCCAGGCAGTCCAGACCGGTGGTTTTCGAGTCACCTGTACACCACTGTATTATGAGTATTACTGAAATACTACTGAGCGCACTCACATGAACCCATTTTCTCTCTGACATTTTTCCAGGGTGTTCTTCACGAGACTGCCCAGTTTCCTGAAGAACAAGTGTCCCGAAGGCTTGGCTGTGGGTCCAGGTCCTTTGGTTTCTCCGTATTCTTTGCACAGCGCTTCTGCCTTCGCATAAACTGCACGTGAGAGGGAGAAAGGGCGTTTGCTCACAGCTCATTCTTGCCTGTTTGCACTCACAAGGCTTTACATCAGCGATGGCAGGGAACTGCACTGCCCCTCACTCACCGGGTAATGACAGCAATGCCAGCAACAGTGCGAGGGGAGCGGCCCCCCTCCAGGCTCCAGGTTTCTGAATCATTACTCTTTTCTCCAACCACCTCACTCATTTCCACTCCCTTCCATGAACTCAGCCAAAATCTCTTTTAGCGGCCTCTCCCCTCCATGGTAAAACGTTTGTTTTTAAACAGGGAGTTGACACCCTGGCAGGAAAACTTACGTTTCTCTGCTTCCTGGAGAGACCGGATTGCTTCACCACATTTGTCACTAGCCAGCAGAGTCTGACCGTGGTAACAGTGCGCCTGATAAAAGACAGACGTCTGTTCATTCTCTCCCCAGACGATGCTTGCCAAACCATCGCCTCGTGCGCTCATCGGGCAGATCCCTGCCCCGTCCGCTGCCCAAAGTCTCAATGGAATCCCTCCTATTTATTTCCTTGGGTCAGCTTCCCCCATCTCTGTTAGCATTCACAGTGGAATGACATCAAGCCTTTGAGCCTAACTGGCCTTTTAACCATGGGCAGCTGAAACCTGGCTCTAAACTCGGGGCACTACTGACAAAGGAGGGACATCACTGCACTAATGGGGAGGGAGAGTGGAACTAAACAGGTTAGGACTAAACAGGTTTTAAGAGAAATGTACGGGCCTGAAGTCTTTGAACGTCTATGTCAATACAAGGATAGCACACACATGGTTTTATGTAGTGTGCCTAAAACAGATTATAAGGTAAAACAATGAAAACATCTACCTAGATTTGAAAAAGGTTTCTGATGATCTCCCACATGATATTTTTTAAAAATAAGAATACATATTTATTGTGATATTCTTTTTTTTTAAATTTTATTTATCTTGAGAAGAAAAGGGAAGGAGAGAAGGAGGTAAATATAAATGTATGGTTGCTTCTGGTGCACCTCCTGCTGGGAACTGGCCTGCAACCCAGGCATGTGCCCTGACTGGGAATTGAACCTCAATCTTTTGGTTCACAGGCCCGTGCTCAATCCACTGAGTTACACCAGCCAGGGCTTCCCACATGATATTCTAACCAACAAAATAAATACTGATAGATTTGTTGGGTGGGTATGAGAGACAAAGAAGTAACTTCCCAAAGAGGCTTACTGACGGCTCTTCACCAGTGCGGGCGCGACACTGCACGGCATCCCTTAGGACTAGAACTAGTCCATGTCTCTGCCAGTGCACAGGATGCAATGAGAGGACTCCTTATTAAGTGCACAGAAGGTTCCAGCCAAAAGTGGGTTTAAGTGAAACAGTAACTCCATTGCTAGAATCCAGTTCTAAACTCTCCAGCATCTATTTGCACCCATTTTAGTCACAGTGGCTGGCTGCGTGGACTGCCCGGGACACTCACTGAGAACTGTCCATTCTTTGTGAAATGCTACGTGTCTGGAGAGATGGCCCACCTGGCACCCGAGGGGCGGGACAGTCATTCACACTGTTTTAGGGTCACAAATACTCACGTAAGCCGTGTAGAAGCACATTTTCAAGAGAAGATATTTTCTCCACTTGGCAGAGTATGCAGGCTCCAAACTGGATAAAGTATGATCTAAAGTTACATTTTAAAAAGCAAAATATCATTTCACCCTGATTCGCTAGAAGATTTAGTTCACGTGTTCAGACGCTAAAAGCAGAATGCCATTCAGGTCTAAAACTCAAGCATTTACACGTTTTTAAAAACCTCGCTGTATTTAAAGTGATTTATTTTTCCACTAACTACAGTTTAATGACATTATAGGACTGGTTCAATACCAGGGTCTCTCTTTGACATGATGGTTAATGCAACTTAGGTTTAACGTAATGATAAAAACATGTAACTAAGAACTTTAAGGTAAACATGAATTATACTATCATCTACTTTTTAAAGATTTATATAGCCATGCAAAGAGCAGTTGGGTCACCTGTGTCAGAGACACGAAGGACACTCTCTAACTCCCCCCACCCACCTCTGCCCGCCACACGGCTCTCCGTTTTCTTCCCCCCACTGCCCGCCTGCTGTCTCTGTCGAAGCCTCCATCCTTTCCTCCTTAGGCTGTTGCCATTTCTTCCAAAGTGCTGAGGGGAGCCAGCCCACTCCTCCTATTTCTCATCTTACAACCCCAGGGACCTTTTTAAAATTCAAATCCAGTGAGTCGGATTTACTTTATAGCTTTTCATGAATCCTGAAGACCAACCGAATAAAGGCCAAACTTCTCAGATGAGCTCTGGAACCAATTCGCGATCTCACGCACGCACACTCCCTCAACTTGTGCTCCCAACACTCGCCCTGTGTTTTAGTCGATCTGTCTGTCCAAAGATCCCGCAAGGGGCTAAGTTCCTTTCTATGTCTGTACGGACTACAGCATGTTTTCTTCCTACAAGCTGACACTTCCTAGCAAACTGAGAGCTTCTATTTGTATTTCAGAAAAGGGCCGAAATGCCACCTTCCTGTAGGAAGCCCACAGGAGCACGCCCGATGCTCTGTTTTTATTTCACCGCGTTATACCATCTTATTTCACAGTGTGCTAGCGTGTGTGTCCCCTTCCCTGACCTGTGAGTCTGTTCTACTGATCTTTGTATACCAGCAACTAATAACCGTTCCATCAGCAGAAACTGGTGTTTCCTCAGAAAGTGAATGAAGAGAAAAACAGGCTAATGAGAAGAACAGTGTTCTGGTCCCAGCTTCCCACCTGCCAGCTGTTCAATTACGGGCCAGTTATATTCATTCTGAGAATTTCAGTTTGTCTCACTAAGAATAATTAACTGTAAGGTTGTTATAAAAACCAAAAAACTTTCAAAAGCAAAACAGCTAAGTAATAGACATAACTGGTTAAAAAGTATAGCATCACCCTTTCCATCAGAAGCTATGCAGCAATACTAGCTATGAACAGGTCTTTTCTTTTGAACAAAAATCAAAAATAATGCAGATGTTATTCCAGTTTTCTAACTAATGAAACACCTGAGCATCTTTTTGATTTGCTTGTTCCCTATTTAGCCAAGAGGTTAATGTGAAAAGCTAAAGACTAAAAATACAGCAACAGAATTACACACTTACCAGCTTTTTGATAGAAATTGGCTGTTTCGTAGGCCAGGGCAGCTATTAGTCCGGGAGCATGTTTCAGTTCAATTGCCCGAGCGATTGTTACTGTGACCAACACACACACAGAACACAGAATTAAGTTCATTTGCATATACTCTAAATTCAAGTATAACAGCAAATAACAGTCTAACACTCTATTTGGGGTTTCAATAGTTTGTTAGAAGTTTTAACATGAAAAGTAAGGTACAAGAAATGCAAACATAAACAGCAAACACTGAGCTTGTGGGTTCTTTATATAAATCACTAGCCAATTACCAGCTAATCGCAGAAAAGCACAACTATAAAACAGCAGGATGTAAGAGAAAACAAATACTTCTAGGGCACTGGAATCTGAAATAAAGCAGAACAAAAGCCTACAAAGTTTCTTGATTGCTTTCGCCTAAGTTTTCATTTTTTCCCACCATTCAAAGGTGAAGACTTCAAGGCCAGACCAACAGCAGAAGAAGCAAAGAGCTGAGCCAGGCAGAGGGGACAAGCTGAGTGTCAGAAACAGCACGAACCCAAAGTCCTCTTAAAAAGAGCCACTCAGTTCGAGGCCTTTTCCTGCAAACTACAAATGAAGGCACACGCAGCAGATCAAGTTTGTTCTCACTGTGAATTTGTCAAAACCTGGGAATTCCAGCTAATTCTGATTTAAAAGAAGTTTTTTAATGCCAACACAGACTTTCTTCAAAACAAACAACCTTACAATATTTAGGCTACCTTCTTGAGCTTCAGCCTGACACTGGATGATATAAGCTTCGATGAGTCGCGCTTCTAAATCTCTGCCCTTTTCTGCAGGTGTGATAAGCTTTGGGATGTGACTTTCCTGAAAGAGAAAGAGAATAAAAAACCAAAAACTTTTTAACCAAGTTGCGAACACTGAAGAAAATGGAAGCTGAGACATTCAGTTTGGGGATTCATCAGAAATTTAGGATAGTAACAAAAAAATATGCTAAGAAGGAACACTAAGCTGATGGGGACTACAAGCTCTTGTAGAGTAAAACTTTTAAAGCTTTTTGTGAGCTTTTGTGAAAACAAGAGATTCAAGAGCAAACTTTGGGTCGTAATAGGCTGGTTAGATACGCAGGTTGCGTCTCCACCTCAGACACGTCCGACGGACACAGTAGCCAAGTTCCCTCCTGCACGGCGGCCAGCACTGTCCGCTCCCCCCAGGGACAGCAGCTAACTCAGGGTCACAGCCTCCCATTGCTGCGAAAGCATCTCACTTCACCCCAGGAACACGCGACACAGGGGCCCAGGAAGGGGTGGTTGAATTGGAATGAGGTGGGGTAATTCTGGTTGGAAATACAGGGCTCCTCCCCCTAATGCCCGAATCAGGCCGTTTAATATGACTGGTGTGTGCTGACCGCCCCTCTAGTGGTCTCGCCGAGGTGGAGAGAGCACGCCCAGTGGCTGGGTTCTGCAGACCTGAGACCGCTCCGGGCCACGGCTGAGGACGGCAGTGAGAAATGGGCAGGAGCAAGGCCTTTGTGCTTTATCCCTACCTTTGCAGAACAGACAGAATAAGCACTGAATTACTCTTGAATCATCTAATTGTAAAATTCACTGACGATTTTCTGAAATGATGACATTTACTATTCTACAATTGGCTGCATTCACCAGCAAGGTACTTATTAACATCAGGGAACTGGAACACACACCAGTACTTTCTGGCATAATGAAATAATGTCCCCACTCCTCATGAAATAAACAAAGATTATTTAAGAACTGAACTATCGGAAATATATTTTATTATTATTTTACCTTTAAATGTTTAAAAATCCCAGCGGCAATTTTCAGGCTTCGATGGACCTCTTTCGCTTCCTCTTCTGTTATGCTTAAAGACAGTGGTTACGTTACTTAAGAGGGTAAATCCCATTTCTGTATCAAATCCAGAAACGAATCCATTACCACAACACCAAATCAGTCATTCATGTTTCTCACCACTCGTTTTCCTCCTTTTAGAAAATCTAGCTTGACATCTAACAAACGCACGTGAGAACTACCCAAAGGGAACAGACCACAAATGAAACAAGACCTGTCTAGAGGTCTGAACAGGCTTGTTTCCCCTTCCAGATAACCTCCTGTGCACGAGGAGGCATAAAACGTGCGCACACTTGAGAAGCAGAAATACACAATATTCACTACTCTGCTCTTGTTCTAATCACGGACGTTACTTTAGGGATTTACTTTATTTTTTAGAGATCGCTTTAAATCAACTCATCCAACTTCATTTGTACATTTTTGTTAAATTTATTGGGGTGACACTGGCTAGTAAAATGATGGTGATTTCAGCTGTGCAATTCCATAGCACAGCTCTGTATACTGTGCTGTACTGTTCGCCGCCCCAAGCCACGTCTCCTTCCACCAACTTCATTTTGGAATGGCTGCCCATTACTCCCACGTTCAGATGCGCTGGGGTTGCTGAGGGATTTCGTGTTGCTAGGATCTTTTTTAACTACTACAAAAATTGTATCTCACTTTATTTCACAGTTCTCTAATCCTTCAAAACATCTTTTGCATACTTACAAGCCTTTGTATGTTTTCTTCTGTGAACTGCCTGTTTGTCTTTTGCTTACTTTCATTTGTTGGTCTTTTCCTTGTTGATTTGTAAGAGTATACACTATAAAAATAATTTGTAATGTGCACTGCACTTTTTTTTTACCCATCTGTCATTTTTAAAATTCTGTTTATGGTACTTTTACATAATCAAACATTGGGTTTTATTTAGAAAGACCTTCCCCACAAGATTATTTTCTTCCCCTTTTGACACTGGGCTCCGTAATTCTGACAGTTAAAATACTAACATTATGAGGCAACCTTTCATTTATTGGAGTGCTACTTTTTACCAACAGCCTACACTCTCTAGTAACAAAGCTCTGTGTATTGGAAAAACAACACCAATGTGTGTATGTAAACTGCCCCTTTTCACTTACTTTTCCTTTCCAGCCAGTCTTGAAGCGTATTTAGTGTACCACAGAGCCACGTTAAACCCCATGGAAGCTAATTCGAAAACGGCATCCTGCTGGGCACTAGAATTATAAAAATGATCATTAGTTTCTGTCAATTATTAACACATTTCTACATGAGGCCCACTGTACATCGGACTCAAAGTCACAGAGAACAAGACGCTAACTGAAAAATGAAGAAAACACACCCGTGTTTCACACAGACGGGGAGATGCAACACGACACAATGGACAATGAACGACTACACACAATGGCCCCGTGTGTCCCCACGTGTCCCCGTGTGTACGCCATGACAGTAACAGTGAGACTAGCAGCTGTTCCAGAAGGCTGCTGCACAGAGTAGCTTCAAAGCCACAGCTTCTGGGCTATAACCCCCCAGAGCCAGAAAGTCTGGGAGGGGCCCACGATGTGTGTTTCTGAGAAGCAGCCAGTTGATTCTGGAGCTGGTGGCTCTCACACCACACTTTAGGAAAACGGAGTTCAGGGGACAGATGGTTCCAGACTCAACTAAACAAAAAAGGTGTGATGGTATTTTCAGAACTGCACTGCGCCTGGGGAGATGGGGCCCAGGGGAGCAGAAGGTGCCCCAGGCGGGGAAACGACGCGGTTTAAGCACAAAACGGTGGGAAGACTTTTCTGAGAGCAGAGACCCAACCACCTGGACTGCAGCGGACGCTTGTGGAAGGAAATCGAGGAGCAGCGGGCAGAAGGCGGGGCTGAGAAGGAACTGACGAGGGTTTTGAATGCTCAGCCACTCAGCACATGACAATGAACAAGGTCTCTGTACCTTGTTTCCTTCCCATTCTGTTACTAATATGACACAAAGACAGCAAGAGTGTATCAAGCAAGATAATACTAGTTCTAATCACTGTATTGCGGCTGAGACCCTAAAAATTCCTTATACATTATCTCAAATGATGAAGAAAACAAAACACCCTTATTTCACACATGCAACATTAAGATAAAGGAAAATCACCCAAAGAGAAGAAACCAGAATCATGACTCCACTTTGTTGCCACATCTTAAAAGGAATGGAGATGTGGAAACTTCTTAGAGTAAAAACAAAGTTTTATTTTAAGACATATGCTATTGAAAAATAACTTACACAACACTTCGTTTGATGTTATAATATATAAAATATGATAGTTATGAACAAACTCCCTACAAGTTTCAGCCTGCTGAAAAACAATGCACAGTTTTAACAGCTGCTTCTTTTCAGCACTGAGACCTTCCAAGTGAATTACCTCTGGGGACCTAGTGGGCATCTCCAGTTTGTAACTTTACTTTCAAATAAGAAGTTAGTTTTGCTCAGTTACACTCTCATGAGTTAACTCCCTTTTCTCCTACATTTATTTTAATCTGCCTCGCTCCCAAACACTCCGCTTCTATTGTACCACATCCAAGTAACAGAATGCATATAGTTGAAAAAAACATTTTTCAGAAAAGACACACTCATTCTACACTCTAAGTGCATTTTCTATTGCATATAAGCAGCAGTTGAGGATAAAGTAACTTAAAAGTCTCGAATGTACTGAATATGCAGTATCATCACTTAAGGCCTTCATCACGGAACTGTGCCCCGTCTCACAAAGCTGAAGATGCTGCCACAGGAACCAACATGGAACCTGACAAAGTTCTCTCATGTAACGAGAGAGGTTTGATTCTTTAAAGAAAAAAAGGGCTTTTTAAAGAAAAATATTCCTTGGTTTTGGATAAAGTAAAAAGGAGTCACAGAAAGAAAAACAGAAAATGAGGACTCAGAAAACCTTAGCATCCCAGAATGTTACAACGGAGAGAATGCTTTGTCCCCAACTCCTTCCCCAACGTATGAATCCCACAAACAATATTCCCAAGGAAGGAAGGAAGCCAGCCAACACCTACTGAATGCCTGCCATGTGCCCGGCACTGTGTCAGGCCCGAGACACAACTCTTCCAGTCCCGCTGCTCACAGAGCCGTGGGTCTGTAAGCCGCACCGTGGGGCAGCAGGGGCTCAGCACGAGGAGCCCTGGGGCTGCCCCTCGTGCCGCGTGGACCCGCAGCACACACTCCTGCACTCGGCGTCTCCCTGGTCTCCATTCCTCCCCTTCTGATGCCAGGAAGCAGGAATTCTACAGCAAACCCAGACAAAGACACACAACCACCTCAGCAGCCCTCTGGTGTTAAAAGTAGTAGTTACAGAAAAACTTAGCACCATGGTGATCTCCTTCCCGCTCTAATTGGATCTCTTTTAATTACTTCCAAGTTAGTGACAATGAAATTCTGAGGAGATGTTTTTAAAAAGAGCCAAAACCATGAAAAAAATTAGGCAGGAAACAAACACTATGAGGAAAGAGTGGGGAGCTGGTGTGGAGGTGGGAGAAAGAGAGAGAAAGAGATGGACCAAAGACATCTCAATTATCCATCGGAGAAGAAAAACCAGGGAAAACCAAAGTCTGTTCTGCTGAATGCAGGCAAAGAACGAAAGCAAGCTCTGGTTCCCCAACTCCCAACCCACTCTCGGTGTGTTCCTGGAAGTCAGGGCTACTCGATTCCAGCTAATGTTTGTACTGATTATCCGAAAACCAGATCTGGTCCGGGAGAAACATTGTATTTTTACTCAATGGAGCATAGTAGGCGTCTAGGTGGAATTTCTCAAATTAATTTCCTGATAACAGAAAACACTGCTCAGATCTCTATTTTATTTCTCCAAAAACAGGGGGTATGAGTTAACCACTGGCTAAACAGTTACCAAAACAGCGTGGATTTAGCACTGTTCGTTAGCACTGCTTACCTTGGGACTTGTCCCTGTAATGTATCCGTCCACTTGAAATTTTGCATATATCGTAACTTACTTTCTTGGCTAGATTCATCCAATGAATTTATGAAACCTGTAACGACGTATAAAACACTTCAGTTTTAGAAACGATAGCAAATATTCCATTTAGATCATCTTTTCAGGTGTTTCTGGGTACCTGAAGGAAACTGCTGACCCCTCGCCCTTTCTGCACCCCACACCTGCTCCCAAGGTGACAAAACATGAAGTGGGTACACATTTAATTTTCAAAACGTTGGAAAGACCACATCCACCCTTACAGTCTCACATTGCTGAACATCACACACACCAAAGAATACAGCAGAAGACTGTATTTGAACTTACAAAGTGTAAGAATGAAATGGGATCTCCTGCATGGTTGTGTGTTAAAAACTCCGGAGTTCGTACACATAACTAACCTTGTAGAAGTGAAAAGTATGAGTCTGCTGCGCTCTTCATCGTTTCCGGGTTGCAGCCCAAATCCGTGAACAGCTCCAGCAGCCGTGCTCTGGACGATCGCAAGTCACTTGCACGAGAGAGAGAGAGAAAGAGTCCAGGTAAGCAGGCCGTCCTACAGCGAATGGCTGTGGAGGCGGCTTAAACCTTTCAATCGTAAGTTTTAAAATAACACGCGTGCACACACAACCCCTCCTCTAATGTAAATAATACATTTAATTAGGACTCACACTGGGGGTAATTGAAATTCCTAGTAACAACTGTTTTAAAAGTCATACTGACATAAACGCCATCCAATTAAAGGGGAAAATCATGGATAGAATATATAATAAAAATATACAGCAAGTTTTAATTAACAAATTAAGCCTAAGTACTTACGATGGAAGGAAGGACTTTAGAATGAGTACACTGACCAGTTCACAGTGAAATTTTGAGAAATGGAAATTGAACGCGTGTGCATGATTGATCTTCTCGAAATTTCAAAATCTGACGTTATGTCAAAATATGTATTAAGTAAAAACCGCATTTTAAAAATGAAATCGCATTGTACAATGCAACATACACACGAAGAATATGTAACAACATGCTGCCGCTAGTCATTTAAAACATCCCCCCTCTTACTTCTCTGTGGCAATGCACACTGCAGACCCGCCGTTTCCTTCGGATTTCTTTTCTCCCTCGACTGCAGTAGCTCCAAGTTTTCCACGTTCTCCTCGTATCTCTAAAGGTCCCTTCTATGGATTTTTTTTCTATGTCCCCTTCTTAGGCCCACCTCCAAAAATGTTCAGTCTCTGGCTTTGCACTCTTCTCTCCTGGCCTCATTCTACCAGACGACTTTGTATCCAATCCTAAACCTACTTCATCAGCAGGAACTTGGTCTAGTTCCAGTTCCACATGTAATTTCAGAAGGCAACGTGCTTAGTGAGAGTTCTAGAAACCCCGTCACGCTGACAATGGCTGAAACGCCGTGTGTCAAGGACTACAGAAAGACTGGATTTAAATTGTAGGCAGCAAGAGAGTAGGGATGTATACCCAGAATTGAGTAGGTGCCTAGGACAAAGCACTTACTCAAAATTGTTTGTTTTGTAAAAGAATACTTATGTTTCAACTATTTCCAGATGCAGGAGGACTGTAACGTAGTAGCATTGCTTAGGAGACAGTACAGAACTGACCTTGAATGGTGCAGATGGAGTGTGTATTCACTGGGACTAGCTCTACGGAGGCTTATTCCAAGAAAATATAGCCTAACAGTTATATAGAGCTGACCAAAAATGGGATGGGTGACTTTATGAATGTGTCATTCATTGTTAAGCTATGGAACTAGAAGCTGGGAAGAAGTAATTCCTGAACTAGGAGAAAAAAAACTGAATTCTTAAAGCCTAAGTTGGACTCAAATAGCCTGCTAGCTATTTCCAGTAAGTACTTGATCATCTGCAACCCAACTCATATAAGGCTATAGTCATCTTAACATTATATAATTTGAGGAAAATGTACCTTAGAAATACCTGATGTAGGCTATTCATTTTATAACTGAGTAATTAGACCCAAAGAAGTCAAGAGTCTTGCCCAATGCTAGAGATAAAACAGTTGAGCTGGGACTGCCTTTAGGAGACTAGGGTCAAGGCTGGCAAACTGCAAGTTGTCACTTGTCCTAGTATGGCCCACAGCTTATCTTTTGTAAAAATGAACAAGCAAGAGTACGCAGCAGTGACTGTAGGTGGCCCATGAGGCCTAAAACACTTACTATTAAAGAAAAAGTCTGCCAACCTCTCGTCTAGATACATAAGCCACTTGCCCCACCTTTTGCTCCAATTACTTCTTTCCCACAAAAAAGCAGCAACTATCTGGGCTCCCCTTTGCAGGTACCCCCAGCACCCTGATCAGCCAGGTGTGCTACATCCCCTACGGAATGAACCCTTCTCAACCCCCGAGCAGGTCAGTCACTCTGGCCGGCTGACTCCTCCTTCGAAATATCTCCTGCATCTGTCTCCCTCTCTCTCTCTTTCATTCCAGCCAATGTGTTCCAGAACAAAGGTTTTCCTGATGGAAAGGACTGGTCGTCTCCCTTCTTACTACCTAAATCAGGAGTCAGCAAACTTTTCCTGTAAAGGGTCCGAAAGTAAAAGTACTTTAGGCTTCTGGGCCATAGAGTCTCTACTGGAACTACTCAACTCTGCGGCTGCAGGGGAAAGAAGGCAAGGCAGCCATGGAAGTAAACGGGGGTGCAGTGGCTGTGTTCTAATAAGGCCGTATTTATAAAAACAAGCGCCGGGCTAAACCTGCTGCACATAGTTTGTCAACTCCTGATTTAAGCTACACGATTTGTTTAAACTCCTTTCTCCTACACGAACACCCTCAGGGCTGTTCAGGTCCTAGGGTCCGAACACAATGAACTTATAGTCCGGCCAATGAATAATACCCACACACAACTTTGTGGAGTCTCTTCCACTATTATCATATATACAATAGCTTAACTCTTTTATTGTGATTGCTTTAGCTCCCCTGACACTCACTGATCTAAAATTAAGGACCCTGGCCTGACACCTGCCAATGTTTAAGCAATCTACAATTTAACTCCTCGTGTTACTTATAGGTTTGTAAGAAGTCTAAGGGTAGGGACAGTGTGTTACTTACTTTTGTGCTACCCAAGGGACCTAAATAAATACCTTGTGTTCAAGGGTGGCTCAATCAACACCTGCTGAGACTGACTAAAACGCACCTGCAAATTTTTGAAGCAGCAGGACCAGTGACAACCTCATAGTAGTTAAAAGAAACAGGAGCTGTGGCTTTGAGGGGGTTCCTGTGAAACCAATGTGTCATTTTTCTCCAGATGTTTCCTATACACAAAAAAGAGACATATGAAAATTAAATAAACAATGTAAATAGTATAAAAATAATTATTCTGAAGATAAAATTTTACTACAAAAATATATAGATTTTTAATATGCATTAACACATACACATATAAATACAATGCTTCGCTGCTTTCAGTCAGCCTTGTTTTGTCTATTTATAGTAGTCTATGTACAGATCAGGCCTATTAAAGGACGTCTGAAGCAGTCATGTCTAAACCTTAGTGCACACAAAAATCACCGGGTTGGGTGGGGGGTTGTTGTTAAAAGGTAGGTTCTAGCTGAACAGCCTGGGTGGAATCGAAAATGCTGATGCTCCTGGTCCCCAAACCACACTTCTGAGGAGGCAAAGTACTAGGCTCTGGTTGGACAGCTGCGAGGGAGAAGGGCACAGGGCCAGATACAGATAATTTCCAAAACAGGTTCAAAAGGAATCCTTATTAGTACTGCTGCGGTTATCTGCGAGAAATAGGCTTTAAATTAAGTGTATTTCTCACATGAAACTGCTGCCATCAACTGACTGGTTACAGCACGGGTTCCATGATAAATATATGTTCCAATAATAGCTAATAAGAATCAATATTTTCATGATAAGAAAATGATACTTGATCAGTAACTTCTATCCCTAAAACCAAAAAATGTGAACAACTATGTAAGTAAAATGCCAACCAAAAAAAAAAGTTCCACACTTTTTAGATTAAAAAAAAAAAAAGGTGTTATGTCATGTGCCTAAAAGTCCTTGAAGGTAGATAGCGCAGATTTTACAAGGAGGTCTAGCTTAATATGGCAATTAGATTCCAGGAAGTAATATACAAGAAATTCTGATAAGGTTTAATTAATCTGAAGGCATTACACAAAGTTGTCGATTCATAATGGAGGAAAAAACCATGGGCTGCACAGGGTATGGAATGTACTTTCAGCACTTCCCTTCTGCTATTTAATTATTCATGACAAAGTCGGTTTTAGAGAGTACCAGATACTTGATGAAGAGAAACACGCAGTGTGTTCTCAATAAGAAACTGGATAAGTTCATTTAACAAGTCCTGAAAAATACACATATACTCTTCTGAACATCAACCATGCAAACCACCTCTATAACCTAATACAGCACCTACGTGCATGTAAATCAAGTCTTCTACAGAAAATGGCACACAATAAATACACTTGATTTTATGGCAGCGAATCTTCCTCAAATATTCTTTCAAAGCGGCCTCCCACTTCCCAGATGAAAGTGTCCGATGTTCTGTGTGTCTTTGCATTGTATTCTCTGCCCTGCCCTTCCCGGAGACCCGGCACTCCGGATACCAGGACCTGGGTGGGCAGCGTAGATCGCCACACCCACCCGCAGGTGCCAGGGTACCTTTAGAGACCCCAGTACAACAGCGGGGTCGAGGCTGCCAACTAACCCGCCTCCACAGGACTACTCGATTACTGATCAAAGCCCCTCCCGCCCCCCCGCCCCCCTCCCCCGCTGCAGCCCGGGAGGAACCTACCTGAACGGAGCCCTGGGCTTGGAGCATCTACTTCCTGTTTAGCACCGGCCTCTTCCTCCCGTGCCCGTCCCGTTCCAGGCTACCAGCGCAGGCGCCAACGCCAGCGCACCCCTCTTCCCCAATAGGCATTTTTCTAGAAAGCCGATACTATCCACCTGGGAGGGACCGGCCGACGACTGCCAAACAAGCCCGTTTAGCTAGAAGCCTCTCTAATGCCGGTGGAGAAGAGGGCAAAGGGACTCCGCGAATCTGTTAATACTATTGATTCGAGGGAGCAAAATGGATGTTCTCTCTTTCTTTGGTTTCAAGGTATTAAAAGGAGAGTTTTGGGGACCACAATCCGGGAGTCTACGGAGACTATGTAAATAAATACATAAAAGGGGGTAACCCGGCGGCTTGGGAATCTACGGAGGCGACCATCCTCTTGGCATACTCACCAGATTTCTCGGAGTCCCGACAGCAGTCCTCCTAAGGGAAGAAAGGCAGCGTCCGAGTCCACCGGCGAGAAAGGGAGGGAGGCGGGGAGCCGGCTACAGGACTGGACCGACGGGGAACCGGGCCTGCGCGGAGCCGGGGTCACGTGACCCGGCGGCCATGACAGCTGCCGCGGCGGCGGTGCCGGCCGCTGGGGGGCGGAGGCTGCCGCGTTGTCGCAGCCTCTGCGGAACGCTCTGTTCCTGGGCCCTTTCCTAGCTGCGCCGCCCTAGTCTTTCCTCCCGAGCTGCAGTCTCGTGTCCGGAGAGGACGAGCAGAGGTGGTGCGGCCTCCCCAGCTGAGAAAGATGCCACAGTGGCGCCACCGCTGCCGCCGGGGAAGCGGGGCGGCCTCAACCTAACACGTGGGGCGGGGCCTCGGGGGCGGGGCCGCGGCGGGGCGGCCGCCTCGGAGCCGTAAAGTTTGGCTGTGGCAGCAAATGGGTTTGGGCGGCTCCTCGGCGAGTGGCGGTGGTGGCCGGGGCGGTTTGTCCTGGCCCTGTTAATGTCGGGGCCAGGCACCGGGAGGATGGCGCCCTAGAGCCAGGCCTCGCTGGGGTAGGGGCGGGAGGGCACGGGGCGGGGGCCGGCCATGTCGGAGGTGACCCGGAGCCTGCTGCAACGCTGGGGCGCCAGTTTTAGGAGAGGCGCCGACTTCGACTCCTGGGGCCAGCTGGTGGAAGCGATAGACGAGTATCAGATGTGAGTGACTAAGGGCCGGCGCGGGCCGGACGGGCTCCGGCGGGCCGCCTCCCCTGGGTTCTGTCGGCATCGCTCATCCCTGTCTCCGCTGCCAAGGCTTCCCAGGGCGGGGCCCCGCGGGCACTGGGGCTGCGATCGCCCCGGCCCAGGAGAAGCTGCCCTGGAGACACTACCCGCTCTCCGAGCTTCCTCGCCCTCCTCCCCTCTCCGCCTCCGCGGGGCGGGTTCCATTCAACAGGTAGCCCTTCTTTCCCGGGGCGCCGGCCCCATCAGGCTGCGTCCTGAGTTCCTTGCACCGTGTTAGGGGTTCCCAGCCCTGCGGTCAGTTTCCTTTCCTCCTTTCCTCCGCCTCTCCCAGGATGCCGCCCCTCAATTTCTCTTTTAGGATCTCGGGGGAAAGACTTGGGTGTTCTCCGCCCGCGGTCCAGGGATGGGTGGCTCTGTGCCTGGTGCCATCCTCCCGTGTGGAGGACAGGAGGGAACTAACTGGTGGCGGTCGCGAGCAGGGGGTGCTTCGGCAGCCAAAAGAAGGGGTCCCCACTCGCGCCCCTTCTCCACCCCTCTTTCTGGTGAGCCCTGGTTTTTTTTTTCCCAATTCACCTCGGGTCTGTTTCGGTTTCTGGGGCTGTTTTCTGCGAGGCAGTGTGGGTCCCACCCACCCCCTCGCTCGGCTGCTTTGGGTGGAGTCCGCGCAGGATGTGAACAGAGGAGAGCAAAATGTGAATTAATAGACCACGCACGGGAGCCACCACTCCCTCCTTGGGTCCCTCCTCCTTTTCCTGTGTATAATGTATAGCCGCTGGGTGCGTGTGAGTACCAGTTTCTTCGATCAGCCCGTGTCCGATTTCTTCCCCTTTTCCGGTTATCCCTGCCCCCCCCCCCAAAAAAAAAAACTTAAGGGATTTTTTTAAATTAAAAGACAAGATTTACGTACAGATAAAAACTTGCTCATATTCTTGCACATTTTCCTGGAAATAACTGCCTGCTAAAATGCTATTGTTTGCAAATCGTTGCCGTTAATTACTTCTTGGGTTAAAGCGAGGTATTGTTTGAAGCTTTAACGAATGTGAAACCGTGTGTGAGTGAATTCTCTTTTTTCCCCCCTCAGTGTCTTCTGGGAAGAATACAAAGATTGGTACTTGGAAGGTCTAAATTCTTTGTCCTTTCTCTACAGTGGTTACTTGTTTTTATCTGGCCATGAAGATAATTTAAATGTGTAGATGTTCTGTATCCCATGTTACTGACTTTGAATTGGCCGTAGTTTCAAAAGGCCCTGGAAACAGCCCTGCTCTGGGCCATTTTGCCTTGTGTAGAAATCACTGTCATTCGATTTGCACTTTCACTGGCCATCACTTGCTCCTGCAGCCACTCTGTGAGCATATTACTCTCACTTTACAAGTTGAGGAAACAGAAGCGCATGTTAAACAATTATACCACTGAAATCTGAGATTGTTTTTAAAATTCCAAATCCTGTCTGCTCTACTACATAGCGCTTCAGACGTTTTATTTAAGATGCACTGTGTGCGTGAATTGGACAAACTAGGTTTCCTTCCATACCAAAGAGCATGTCTTTCCCCAGCACAGCCAGTGAGACAGTGAGCGCCTGTAGGCACTCGTTCTGTGTGTTGACCAGAATGCGCAGACTCTGAAATATAAAGCTGCCTCTCCCTTGTGATGTGGTGGGACGCAGCAGCTGTTGGCATTTAGCAGCAGACCTCACAATAGAAAGTGAAGGATGCCGTGTCCAATTGCAGTTACAAAGGAGAAAGGAGCATGCAAGCTGTTCAGCTAGAACTGAGTAACAGGCGCATAGGACACTATTGTTGGACCTCAATACTAACTTTTGAACTTCATCATTCAGAGTACTCAAATTTTAGTTCATCCGAACTACAGCATTTAGAATTCTCTCAAATTTTAAAAAGCATCAGTGTCAAATCTGAATAGAAATGTGTGGTGATTGGCTTAAATTTGGTAAACATGCAGGCTATATGTATAGAATGAGGTTGAAGTTAGAATTCATGTATTCAAAAATGAAGGTAGAGAGTCTTTTTTTATTTGAGTTATCAGGGAGGAAAGGCTGCAGAAAGACCATTTGGAAACTCCTAAATGCTGTAAAAAAAGAGTTAACAGGATATAGTCGCTGGGTGTGGGGAGTGAAGGAGAGGAGTCTAGGTGACCAGCATCTCCAGAGGGGCTGGCAGCAGTGTCTTTGGGGTCATAAGCCATATAGGGTCTAATTTATGGGAGGGGAGATGGGAAGAAATGAGCATGTTTAGTGTTATCACAATGTAAGATACTGTAGCTTAAACAATTTCAACATTCAACAAGTGAGAGTTAGCGATTTAAAGACCATTAGGATTTGATTTCCTCCATCAAAGCACTGATTGTCTAATTGGAGGATTTTAGAGTTAATTGAGTATGAAGAAGTATGAAAAGGGTGCTTGCTACCACATTGCTTGCTGTTTTTGTGGAACTCCCCCCCCCCCCCCCCCGTTACCTGCTTGTGTCACTTGGTCACCTCCTTCAGGTCTCTCTTTGTTCAAATATTCTCTTCTCCTACAAGGCATCCTGGCGGCCCTGTGTAAAGTTGCACAGCCTGCCGCGCTCGTCCCGCTCAGTTTTTCCTCGCGGTATTTATCACCATCTAAAATACAGTAGATACGTTGAATTCATTTGGTGCATTGTCTCTCTCCCCACTTGGATGTCAGCTCTTTGAGGGCAGGGCCGGTGGATTCAGTAGTGTGCTGTAGGGAACATTAAAGAGCTGATATCAAAATGCTGTTGGAAGATTTAAACAGATTATGGCAAAAACAGAATTTCTGCCCAAAATAAACATGGTTAATAAAAATAACCCCATTTGGCGGGCCCCCTCATTCAGCAGCCTGGGGGTACATGACCCTGACTCATGGCAGAGTGGTGTGGGGTCTTGCTCACACCCTGCGTTTTGCAGGATCGATCCCGAAGTGTTCATCTCGAGGGGATGTTCAATACATAGGTGCTCAGTGAATGGGTGAGATCGAAGAGTAATACCTGCTGCTGGTCAGCTGTGCCGTGCCTTCTGTGGGTGCTCCTCAGTGTCGTCCACACATCGCTGCCGGTCTGCACCCGGAGAGATGCGGAGAGATGCGGAGAGATGCAGGCATTGGGGCTGAAGACTTAGAACTGTGTCGCAGTTTGACATCTGCGCTACCCGCGGGTAGTTTTTACTGTGTTTTATTAAAGTACTGGTCTGGAGCAGATTGAGGGGGGAAAGAACTAGTCCCTCACTGTACATGCTTGGGGAAGCACTGATTTCTGCCACCGATGGCAGTCAGTCAGCTGCTTGTTTGTGTGTTTCAAGTACATTTAAAACCGGCCTGAGAACCGTCCTGTTTTATCTGTAGGTGGCCTTGTAAGGTGAGTTTATTCTCTAGAGAAGAATACTTGGTAGGTTTTCCACCTCCACGAATAGAGTGGGGGCTCTCTCACCCGCTCCTCTGGTGTCCCAAGTGTGTGGGTTTTCTCTCAGTGGACAGTCATGTCTCACTTTGTCTTCCAATGGTAGAGTCATTTATAGATAGAGAAACTTTGTTTTGCCTAGGTTTTTAAGAATTGGGGAGTGGGAAATAACTACTGAGGTGTGATTTGTATGCCATGAATCCGTCTCTTATAGATATGCAGCTGAGTGCGTGTTTAGTGAATTTGCCCGGGTGGGTAACCATCACCTGAGTCCAGCTCTCGCACATCTCCATCCCCCTGAGAAGACCCTCTTGTGCCCCCCTCTGCACTCAAGTCGCTTCATGTTCCCACTCGAGCCCAGGCAGTCACTAACCTATGTTCTTCTCTTTCTAAAGACGTGTCCTTTCTGAATATTTTGTGTAAATTGAATCATACAATAGGTGCTCTGGGTGGCTTCTTTGATCTAACATAATATTTTTGAGGTTCACGCTGTATCACTATTTCATTCTTCTTTGTGGCCAAATGATATTCCACTGAACGGGTAGTCTCCTTCGTGTTGACCCATTCCTCAAGGGATGGACATGTTGGGTGTTTCCACTTGGGTGTTGAGTGGTAATGCGTGATGCGGGTGCTGTAAACATTCGTGTACACGAATGGGTTTTCATGTGCACATACGGTTTCAGTTGCTTTGGCAATGTACCTAGGATTTTTACATTGCTGGGTTATATGGTAACTTTATGTTTAGTGTCTTAAGGAACTGACAAACTGATTTCCACGATGACTACATTTTATGTTCCTGCTAGTGAGACGTGAGGATTCCAATTTTCCATATCCTTGCTCACACCTGTTATTTTTTCTCTCTTTAAAAATTACGCCCTTCCTAGTGGGCGTGACATGGTATCTCATTATGGTTCTGATCTGTGTTCCCCTGATGATAATGTAGGATATTCTTGTGCTTATTGGCCATTTTGATATCTTCTTTAGAGAAACGTCTGTTCAAGTCCTTTGCCTGTTTTTAAATTGAATCGTTTGTCTTACTATTTAGTTAAGAGTTCTTTGGTTTTTGCTGTCTCAGAAAGTGCTTTGGACTCCTCCTGTTGAGCTCTACTACCAGTGTTGCTCCATCTTTGAAAATTCACCAAGGCCTTGCCGCTGTTTTTAATTTTGATGATGAGTGGGCATACAATGATTTTCATGTCCTATGGGTGAGGTTTTCTTTCCTGTGGAAAACATTTTCCGAAGTTTACTTTGATTGCATAGTATCACTTTGGTAGGACTGTCCATTGGGCTCATCTTATCAGCAGATTAGTGATAGATTGATCAAGTGTCTCTGGCTGGCGCTGCCATTGGTGCTCCCTGGAAGTGCTGAAGCAGAATCTGGGCAGCTGCTTGTCGCTTCTCCTAGAGGAAATGGGTGCCCACTACAGAGGGTTAGGTCAGATACCATCTGAGATCCTTTCCAGCTCTGAGATTCTGTTTTTACTGCCTGGAGCTGAAATTTGTTCCAGCGAAGCGGTATGAAAAGTATCTGTTTCATTGATGTTGAATAAAAAGTTTGATTCTAAAGACATACTTTGAAAACAGAACATAGTATTGTACTTCCTTGTCTGATTTTTAAAAGATTGAGATTGTGTTTCGCCTTGTTGCACTCCCCTGGATTCTAAAGGACATTTACTTTCCTTGTTACAGATTAGCAAGACATCTACAGAAAGAGGCCCAGGCGCAGCACAACAACTCTGAATTCACAGAAGAACAAAAGGTACCGGGGTAGAATTGCCAAACCCCTCAAATTCCAACTGAAAAGGGTTTTGTCTTTCGATTCCATTAAGCAAAAGACAACAAAAACTGTTATTCTTAAGTAGGAAGAATGATACTGATTATGCTTTGCCAAACATTAAGTGATCACATGGAGATTCCACATGATTTGCCACTTAATGAGTTTCTCACTTCATGAATTTCTTTACTTAGCCATTTAGAGTTGAGTTTTAGGAAGACCATCCCTGCTTTCGCTGGGGGTGGGGAAGCCCGGAGACTGGAGTTTGATTATGAGTAGTTGCATCCCACCTCAATTTTTATTTTTAACTCAGCTTAACTTCTTCTTTACCTCCTCTGAAAACAAAATAAGCCCCTTGCCCCCCCACCCCTCAAAAAAAGTCACCAGTGAAAAAAATAAGTTCAAGAATTTGGCATAAGACTCTGTCAGCAAAATAAATGCATAAGATTGCAGAATGTTTCAATGGTGCTCTTTCTCCTTGAATTAAAGTTTTAATGTGTCAGATTATTCCTTGTACTGTTAGAGATGATGAAAAATGGGATACTTTTAAGAAGCTTTTCTTTAAAGAAAAAAAAAACAATTTTCATTTTTTCCTGGCTCGAAGTGTCTAATGTAAAATCAAAGTTTAATCTTGTAGATAATGAAAAAATATTGTATCAGTGTTTCCCTCATCTCTTAAGAAAATACACTGTGAAAGCTGTAATGACTTAATTGGCTTGAATTCTGTTTTGTGCAAGGAGTGGGAGTGGTTTTCTTCGCAGACTTTTTAAGTAAGCCTAAACCAATTAATTTTGGTCCTTAGGCCTGTATTCATTTGACAGTTTTTTAAAGGAGTTTAGAAAGAAAAAAATAAACTCAAAGATTTGGGTTAGCCTTATTTCTTACACAGTTAGTATATTTGCATTTTTAGAATATTTAGGATCTGCATAATCTAATGTACTTTTTTGTGTTGAAAAAGAAAATACATTGCTACAACTTAAAAGTGTATTGTTTTCTTTTCCTTAATAATTACTAATACCTACAATAGATTTAGGGTATTTAGGATTTCAGCCCTGGAAAGTAGTTACCATAGAGGAAATTATTAGTTTGCTTAAGGAAAGGAATAAAGACTACATATTTTATTACCTCTTTGAAATGTGTTATGAATATGGAAATAAAATGAAAGTTTAGGGAATTAAAAAAGTTTAATGACCCCCATATTTTAATCAGTTATTTGCATTCAGTTACTAATGTTTTGTCTCCAACATCTGTTTCTTAGGTATAAACTTATGAACAACATGACCTCAAATATAAAGTGATTTAACTGAAAACTTTAAATTTTGAAAGACCAGCATATGATCTTTGTCATGCAATAATGATTGAAGTAATGAGAAAAAATTAACTTTTTCTTAATTTTTAAAAACTTCCTGAAGTGGTAGCTGGTGTTCGATGATCTGTTTGTTTATTCTTTGTTTATGGCTGTTCCTTAGGAGCCCCTGGTTTGTTTGTTTTTTTAGCTAACACAGACCCACAGGTCTTCTCCTTGATGAGGTCTGGGACGCCCCACAACCTAGAGGAAGGAGCCCGAGATCTGGGGTCAGAAGACTTGGTTTTAAACACTAGCTCTTTCTCTCTGGGCCTTCATTTCCTTGTGTATACAATGAGGAGTTAAAAATAAGAAAACAGACAAGGAGATGAGGGACTCGATCCCCCTAAAGGATGTGTAGTAACCCCGCCTTTGAAGCATTCTGTGCCTCCTCCTTGCCCGGAGGCCTGATTTCTAAGGCATTTCTCACTCACGACACCTGCCCAGGGGCCTTTCTGGCTGCCAGTTGTGACTGCAGAGAAGGCTTCTGCCTCCTCGGGCTGGAGGAGCACCCGCAGGTCACTCTGTGACCTTATTAACATAAGGCAGCTTGTGTACATTTACAAATTCACATTTCCTTCCAAATACAGGTGAAACATTCACAGCAGGCCCCAAACTCATCATGACCCAGAGGCCTTATCTGAAGGTCACATAAGGAAAAAGTTGCAAAGTGATTAGAACACTGTGATTCCCCAGGTGTGCTTTGGAGAGCGTTGGCTCTGAAAACTGAGCAGATGCCGAGTGAACAGAGTCCAGGGCTTGGTCCGGGCTTTCAGTGTGCTAATGTGCGTGTGATTTGTTCTCTGTTTTTTGTAGTTCATTATTTTTATTTTATTCTTTTGTATGTTGAATTTTTAAAGAGTTTGGGTAATGGAGTATTTTTCAAATTTGCTTGCTTTTGGAACCCCTCCGCCCTGCCTTCCCTTTACCCAGTATTTCCTTGGTTCTAGTGTTCTGAAGGACCGACCGTGTTATGGGAGATTTTGAAACCAACTGTTAGGTCTGCGAAGTTAATTGAACGCTAGACCTGGCCCATAAGCCAAAGTGGGAGAAACTTGACTGTGTTTTCCTCGAGGAAAATGGAGAATGCTCCTTACATTATTCTAAGCAAAATTGTTCTTTATGGCTTTTATTTTGTATTATATTGTTATGCTTTTACTATTTTCACTGTGTTTGTAGCAGTGAGAAATTTGAGAATTGGGGCAATCAGTCACTAGTTTGTGGGACTTTAAAAGATTTTTTAAAAACCAACCATGTTTCTAGAATTCTTTTTTTTTTTAAGATTTTATTTTATTTTTAAAGGGGAAGGGAGGGAGAAAGAAAGGGAAAATTCAGTGTGTGGTTGCCTCCCCTGCGCCCCCTACTGGGGAACTCGCCTGCAACCCAGGCATGGGCAAGACTGGGAATTCAACTGGCGACCCTTTGGTTCGCAGGCTGGCACTCAATCCACTGAGCCACACTAACAGGGCCCTTTTTTTCAAACTGATTTAGAAAGTTTCAGAGGCAAAAGGAAGGGCCCTTGGAGCCTAGGAGAGAGGAGTAAAAGTACCATGCCTGGGGGGGAAGAAGAGGGAGGGGAGGGGCTGGCTGCCGCCCCCACAGGGAGAGTCCTTGACATGGGGGTTTTCTGTTCATAATATTCTCAGCTTTCTGGGGGGAAGTGTAAAAAAAAACTATGATTCTTATTTGATCCTCCCTCATGATTAGTTTACTTAACTTTCAATTCTCAATAGTTTTGTCATAATAACAACTGGGTTTAGTAGCCAAAGAACAGCTGCCAAGAGCGTCCATTCCATGAACTTCCCTACTGTGGTGCAGCAGATTTTCTCATGTAAGTTCTGGGCAGAACGGAGCATGATGCCGAGAGAGGCTGTCTCCGTTTTGAGTCAGATTTGGTGGTAATGAGAATTCGAACACTGTGTGCTTGTTTTGTATTTTATAGGTCTCCCCTTTTGAGTGCTTCCCCTCCTCTCCTCCCTTACCTGCCCCCTCTCCCCGAAACCCCCAGCTAGAGAGGAGAAGACTGGCCACTTGAGTCTAAAAATCTAAGGCTGGATTGAGACTCTGCTACTTCAACTCTGTGTTTTTTTAAAACCTATTTAAATTAACCTATTAATTCTACATTTTAGTAGAATTAATTTAGCTCTTTGTCTAACTTTTATTCTATCTTTTTGTTTAACTGCTCTTTTCGAGTTGTTAATTTCCCTAGCAATGATAAAGTAAAAATAGCCAATATACTGCAAATGAGGACATCTTCTATTTGTGTACCATATTAGGGATGAACAATTAATTTGAATGAAGGGCTGATCATTTGAGTCTTTCTAAAGTTAAACTTCCATTACCTGCAGTGCTTAGTCTTAATGTGCATGAGTTAATAGTACTTCGGTTGCACTCTGGCCCAGGGGACCTTGTGCTTCTCAATCATTTTGTTTCTAGGAAGGTGAAACAGTCACGGTAGCAAGCACTTGATTTTGACACCCATAAATGCTACATGTTTTAAAAGTCATTGCTACATCTGAAAGTGATAGCTTTTCTCTCTTTTTTTAATACTAATGTTGGGTGTGGTCCCTTAAAATAGTTATGAATAATGCCTGTTGGTATTTTGCCATAGTTCAGTAGATTGCGTATAAAAAGCTATTTCTTCTGTTTAACTTGAAGAAATGTTTCATTTTAAAATAGGTTATTAGTGGACTCATAGTTGTTAAACTACATTTTATCTTCAAAGTTAAAAGCATCAAATCAAATGGGTTTTATAGTAAAGAGAGAAAAGTTAACTAATTTTTTAAAGACTTATTTATATGTCTCAATACAGATGAAATCCTTTTTTAAAGCTATTTTTGAAAGAACAGAAAAAAGTATGGCCAAATGGTATTACATGTCTTGCTTTGTTATATACTGCTTCTGTGTAGAACGAACTGATGTCCAGAGCAAGCTATGGAACCACTCTCCAATTTCCACATTTATAAAATGATTGTATTTAAGCAGTAGAGTTAGTGTGAGGATCAAATGAATTCATGTTTGTAAGTCCCCGAGGAGATCCTGTCACTTAGTAAGTGCTACATAGTTGTTAGCCATTACTCTTACCATAGTGATATACTTAGGTTTAAAAGTATTTTTCGGAGTTGAGTGGTATATTTGAATAACAGTGATTTGGGGGGTATTAGAGTTCATGTAGAAAAGACTAATTCCCGTGCAACAGCTATTTGAGGAGTAAATAAATCTGAGTGCCTTGAATCCTTTTGCACTTAATATATTTAGAGGCATCTTGAAATGTAAGTTTTCAGAATAACAAAGGGTGTTTTCTAAACTTTTACATTGGGATTAAAAGGGATGTTCAGACTGCGGAGGTGGTTAGATACTATCCCTTGTGCTCTAGCCGAGAGCTGTTGTACTCTGCCCAGCAGTGGTCACGGTGTGGGCTGCTCTGCCGGCTCCTGTCGTCCGTGTGGCCCTTGCGTGGTGTCCACCGGCCTGCGTGCTGGGGCCAGGGCGGTGCTCGCTCTGCCTCTTTGCTCCCTGTTTGTCTTGCAAAGAAAACTGAGGAAAGAGAAAACCGCCCAATCCAGCTTACCTAGTCATCTGTACATTTAGAGAAACAGGCCACTTGCTTTCAGAATATTTCATTGTGAAGGCCTTGCAGACACCATACAAAGATACTTCACTTTTATGGTCTGGATCGATTCCTTGTGAAAACTTAAATGTCTTCTTTGGAAGAACTGGAAGGTCTTGATGGGCATAATTCAGCCACAGCTACTTCTGTGGGTCTCCCCCTTTTCACATCCACTCCAGTCACTCAAGCTGTTCTTCATTACCATTTACCTGGACAGTTGGAAGACCGGACTGATCTTATCTTTGGTCTTTTGCCTTTTCTACTTCAGCATATAGAGACCGTGGTCACAGCAGTCTTCTTAAACAGCAATTCCCACAGTCATTCTGTGGTCAAAAGCCTTCTGTGTAATTTACTGCTAAAGTACGTAATGACAGATTCCTCAGCGAGTCCTTGAAGGTCCCCTTCAGAAGGACCCCACCCCCAACACACCCTCCCCCGTGTTTCCAGCCTGTGTTCAGCTTGGGGCAGCTGAACCACGGCCGCTTTGCAAACTTTTTAGTTTCCAGAGCCCTCCCAGTCGATTCCTGACACACATTAACTTGTCCCATTTCTTCGGAACGTACAGTGGCTTGCTGTGCTGAGTCTTAGGGAATCGAGTGTCTCCTTTCTATTGCAGCGGTTCTGCGCATGTCTTGCTTTTCAGGGTAGAACCTGGGCTCACTGCGGGCAAGTGTGCCCTGTCACTTACACCATCTTACAGCTCACATTATGAAACACTTGCCTCCATTCTTCACAAGCAGTGATTTTGCTCTGTATTGCCTATGTCCAATTAAATAAGTCACAATTGGACGTAGTCAAAATTAACTTATGCTGTTATGCTGACTTCCAGATATTTTAAGTCTTTTGGTGAATTTCAGGCTTTGTGGAGAAAAAGGGAGAGTTTGTGAGGGAAGATGTCAGCAGTCCTTTCCATTGCTCTGAAAATCATCCTACAGCCATTTAAACTTGGTTGTGGCACATTGAGGTCAGGAGGGACCACACAGTCACCTTCTTTCCCTTATCCAGCAGTTTGCTTTCTGTTTCTCTTCTTTAAAATCTGCAAGATGCTAAAAAAATTATACATCTGCCCTGGCTGGTGTGGCTCAGTGGATTGAGCACACACCAAAGGTCGCTGGTTTGATCCCCAATCAGGCACATGCCTGGGCTGTGGACCCGCGTCCCCAGGTGGGGGCACGTGAGAGGCAACCACACACTGACGTTTCTCTCCCTCTCCTTCTCTAAAAATAAATAAATAAAATCTTTTTTTAAAAACCTTTGAAAAAATTATAGATTCTTTATCAATAAAAATTAACTTGATTTTGAGAACTAAAAGTTATATTTGGTATTTTTTGCTTTTTCTTTTTCTCGCAGAAAACCATAGGCAAAATTGCAACATGCTTGGAATTACGAAGTGCAGCTTTACAGGTAAATAGGTTTTTTCTTCTCTTGCTGCTATAAGGACACCACCAACTGTTAAACCTGCAAAATTAAGGAAAAGGAATTATTATGAACTATTCTGGTAAAACATGAGGCATGCCTGCTAAAAGCGATATGTCTCAGAAGAGTTATAACCATAGGAATTCATGAGTTAAGCTTGTATTAAAAGATTTAGCTCATATTTTATAAACTAGAAATAAAAGATATAACTTTATTTTCAGTTATTATTTGTCTGAATGTTTCCAAAATACAACAACAAACAGAAGTCCATTTCAGACTCTCGCCACTTAAAGGTCATAAGGCAGCGTGAAGTCTTCATGATAAACAGGTGTAATGTGCGTATTTTACATTTAGTCCACACAGTCTCAAGAAGAATTTAAACTGGAGGACCTGAAGAAGCTAGAGCCAAGTAAGTTTTCTCTTTACTTTTTTGTGATACGCTTTCCAAAAAACATGTATTGGGGCTGTTAAGATTAATTAACCTAAGTGCTTATTTAATTTATTTCTGTTACCATCTAGTCCTGGGTAACTTTCTTATGCTTTTGTAAAAAGAAACCCTGCGCCAATCACTTGCCCGGCCCCCCCCCCCACCCCCCAGGTAACCGCTCATGTGTGGTCTCTCCATGTGGGTTTGCCTGTGGTGGACGCTGTACAGCAGTGGACTCAACAGACCACAATAGGTGGCCTTTTGTGATGGGCTGTTACTTTAACAAAAGTACATCGGTAGCTTTGGTGGTTACGTAATGTTTCTAATGAAAATTATAATCAGTTTTTAAATGGTAAGCATAATTAGGATTTTGGCTCCTTATTTGGACACTTTTTCCATTAGTTCCCCCCGCCCCCAATTTGTCTCCAAGTAAAATTTAAAATGGAATAGATAGGCAGGATGACTGCAAACCACTGTTCTCAGTGACGTGTCACCTCTTCATAGATAAGTACGTGCAGTCATCCCTCCTGTTGCCTCAAAGGCTCTTCCCCGGGCGGCCACGGCTGCCACTTTCTGGAGCAGCCGCCGCCTGCCAAGCTCTCAGATAAACCCACTCACCTGCAGTGTGTTAACTGGCACTTGCCCGCGACCTTACAGCTTCTCGGTGCCAGCCCTGGTTCTGACCAGAGTTCCAAGTGCTCCCGAAGCCTCTTTCCTTCCGCCACACCTGGCATGGTGCAAGGGTGACGTCAACCCTGAGTAGCACAGTTCTCCCCGTGGGACCCCTGAGAGGTTACTGATGCGGAGGGGGGACAGGGCGTCTGTCCCTTCTGTGTCTGTCCCTTCTGTGTCTGTTGTTGCTGTTCTTAAGGTGAGGAGTGAGACTGCAAAGGAAAGATGACATCGGGGTTCATTGGTACATCTCGTTTACATAGTGCTTTTCGTGTAGACCCCTCCATCTTTGTATCACTATCTTTTTAGATGATGTTAATTTGCTCCTGACTCCATCAGTGTATGTATTGTATCCCAGTAGGATATGCTGTGTAATTTCTGTGTTATTCAACTTAGGCACTTATGATCATTATTTTATTAGAATTAATCATTTTCAACAAGTTGGTATTTGATATATTTCAAGTTCAGCCTACTTAGTCAAAATAGCCTCTGCCTCTTTTGAGGCTGCAAGAAAAGGAAAATTAAGAAATGACTGTACCTTTCAATATGTGGGACTTGGTTGCTTTATTTTGCTAATGTATTTTCCCTGCAGGGTCTTTTAAATCTCTTAATAATCCTGTCTGGAATACACAGAAACTAAGATCATGAAAGTACTGGCCATTTAACTTCCTGACGATGATCCTTAGTAATACCAACATATCAGGTTTCAAATCTCTGCCATCTCTGCCCCTCACCCAGCTGCAGCTGTGCAGCCGGTTCTGTTCCTCGAACCAGCCAGACTAGTTCCTGCCCCTGAGCCCTCCTTGTTGCTCTCTCCTCTTCCCCAGTACTCGGAAAGCCCTTGCCCCAGAGCTGCTTCCTGGCCGTTCCTCTCATTCCAGGTCAAGGCTCACATGTCCTCGAACATCGTGGTTTTGAAAGGCCTCCCCTGTCCACCCTGGTTCTCCCCCTTCCAGTCACTTGGTCTTCCTGTCCGTGACCTTCATGACATGAAGCGCAGCCTTACTTTACCTCGTTAACCTATGGGCTCGTTTACTTTCCTCACTGGGGTCTCAGGTCTGTCTGGGAGGTCAACAACCCTCTGTTTTGATCACTGCCATCTTTTTAGCACCTAAAACACGGCACATGACAGGCACTTGAGGCCCATTTGTTGAGAAGAAGGGCGTGAGGGGAAGGATGAGGGTGAGAGCTGGAGGGAGAGAGCAACTGTGATGAGTGAGACCCTGGACTCAAGTCTCGGCCGGCTCTCTCACCGGGGGACTTCGCGGGGTGCGCATCCTACAGGAAGTCCGGTAAACAAATCCGGCTCCTGTTAAGTTGTGTACCTCCAGCCTGTGCACTGAGATTTCCTCCTCTCGGGTGACAACGTGCCGTACTTACTCTAGCTTTAAGCTGCAAGGCTCCAAAATCAGGCTGAATAAGATGAATATAAAGTCCCGGGACTTTCTGGATTGCCAGTTGACATCGTTACTTGACCTTCATAGAAGTGCAGGTAGTCACTGGGATCCCTTAAGGCCGGATGTGAAACACGCACACAGGACCTCTCCGAAGGGGGGCGGGAGTTACAGCCGTGCTCTCCGAGGTTGCATGCCAGCGTGTCATCCCTGCCCACAACCATAGCTGCCGTGCTGTGCTGTTTGAGGACTTCTTCTGAGGCTACAGCTCTCCTTACGTTTGTGTGCACGTGTGTGCTCGTGCATATATGTACATGTACATTACATGTGTGTGCATGTAATGACCTTTATCATAGATGATGATAAACATTTATGTGTCCAAACGAGCTCTGTGTGTGTGTGTAATAAACTTTATATGTGAGAACTGTAATCCGACTTCCCAAACTTTCATGGAGTTGAGGGGAAAGCTAATCAGGGCGTAGACTAAGACATGTTCATGTGCCTCTGATTGGCCGACTTTGATGTCAGTCTTTGAACTGACGTCCCCCCGGAAGGGGGCATTTGTGTCTGGTTCCTGTGTCTCACCCGGGACGTCGTCCGTAGAAGAACTGTTTTGGAGTTGTCCTCCCCGAGGGCTTTGAGACTCTGGAGCTTCTGCTCCGTAGGGACCTGGCAGTGCTCTGAAACGGTCGGCACCTGCAGCACCTGTCAGTCAGTGGACAAGTGCATGACGAGGTTGGCGGCTTTTAAAAATTATTAACGAGCGTAGTAAAATTGATTAAAAAACAGTCATTTGTGGTAAAATTTTAAATTTTGACTCATAGAATTCATGTCTTTTTCTCTCTCTTTATTCTAGTCCTAAAGAACATTCTTACATATAATAAAGAATTCCCATTTGACGTTCAACCTGTCCCCTTAAGGTAAAATAAATACGCACCAGTATTCTCTTTTTTTTACGTCTTTTTGGTCAACCTTGTTTATATCGGTATCTCACCTGGGAAAGGAGGAGCCGTGAGGCTCCACGAGTACACCTAGTTCTGTAGCTCACTGCTTTTCCTGTCTCTTTGCGTACAGAAGAATTTTAGCACCTGGCGAAGAAGAGAATTTGGAGTTTGAAGAAGATGAAGAAGAGGGTGGCGCTGGGGCAGGGTCTCCCGATTGCTTTCCTGCTAGAGTTCCTGGTGGGTATCGCTTGTTTACAAACACACACCACTCACCTCAGCCCCAGGTCTGGTGTTTGGAACTTAGGGTGGTACTTGCTGGCGGAGAGTGAAACCTCCACAGAGCCCAGGTCAGCCTGAAGCAGGTGTTGGCGGCTGTGCTGTGGGCGGCAGCTACTTTGGAAGTGCAGTGTGAAAGTATCTGACCGTGTTGGGGGTCCCAAGAGCCCCTCATTTCAGTATAACAACAACCGAGCACGGGTTTCACGTTAAAGGGGTGAATATATTCTTTATGTTTAGTTTTTAAAAACTGGCTGGTTACTAAGCGATTTAAGAGGAAGCCTCTGGCTTCTGTGTATTGTTAAAATATTTACTCTGGAATTACTGGTAGAGCTCATTTTTATTGCTGTTGCTCTGTTGCCAGGTACCTTATTACCAAGGTTGCCATCAGAACCAGGAATGACGTTACTCACCATCAGAATTGAGAAAATCGGTCTGAAGGATGCGGGCCAGTGCATTGACCCCTATATCACAGTTAGTGTAAAGGGTAAGTAACCTGCCTACCTGTTTTCCCTCTGGCCACTTTCATGATGTTGCTTCACTGGGATTGGTGGGCTGGAGAGGGTGGGCGGGAGGCGGGGTGGGCAGGGCCCCAACTCACTTTCATTCATTCTACGGTGAGGCAGAATCCGAGAAGAGGTCATCAGTTCTTCCCCGGACGTTTCCCAGAAACGGACTAAAAATATTTCCCTATGATAACTTACATTTGTGTATGCTGTTGAGTTTTTCTTCGTCTGTGTGTTTTTATTCTCAGAATTCCATCAAGGGTGCTGCCTAAGACATGCACACTGTTCACAGCATATTCCTCTTTCTTCAGGAAAGAGGTTTAGAAAATGTCCCCACCTCCCAAGGCTGTGCAGTTTTCTTGGCAAAGCCGTGTCCCCCTGCTCTCCTGGGCCTAGGAGAGGCCGACCCCGGAGAGCCCGGCCCTGGGAGGTGAGAATCAGGCTGTAGTGAGTGAGTCGTCGGTGGGGTCAGAGGAAGGGGCCTGTCCGTAAACACCCACTCCCTGAACGCAGTCCTGAGGGCATTAAAAAGTGGCGTATTTCTTACCATGAACTATGGTACCAAGGTTATTAAGCATGATTATTCTTAGGATTTGGTTTCTTCTACTGTCCAGTGCAGCCGACATGGATTCCTAGAAAACAACTTCCTCTGTTCTTGGTTTGAGAGGGAAACCGCATGGTTGAATTTTCCTGTTGCCATTGCTCAGCGTTTTATACAGAACTCTATGGTGAAGCACTCAGTGGTCTTCTAAAAATCGTGCCTGGGTGGTCGAGGGTGAAGTTGTTATACTGTTACTCAGAAATGACAGCACGGTTAACCTGCAGTTTGAGACAAATCAAAGAAACAGGTTTGGACTAAAATTAAATGGAGGGAACTGTCACTGATGACAGAAATAAATCCGACCCCTTCAGGTTCTTTGGTCCAAATAAAAGAAAAAAGGGTTTGTCCACAGAAGACCCTAAAGTGGAGAGACCAGGACGCACAGCACAAATGCTGTGCTGCTTTACGTTCTGACGTGATCCGTTGTCAAACCCACGGCCGCGGGCAAGGACTCGGACCCTGCATTGTTCACAGGCCGTTTGCAAGGCTGCACATCTCAATGGGAATGCACCCTGCAACACAAAAAAGTGCCGTGAAATGGGTGTCATGTTGTCTGTCTTGTTGAAGTGTTTATTTACTCTGAAATTACTGGTGGGGCTGACTGTATGAACGTTGAACTGAAATACGTTTTTGTGTAAATACCTTTAGGAACTGAAATAGTTAAATGTACTACATCTTAAGTTCCTTAAGATGGGTCCATTGAGTACTACTTCAACTCCGAGGAGTCAGTGAGTCCCTATTGAATTTGATTAAATTAGAAGATTCCCGGCCCCAGGAAGTTAAAGCCACACACCATCCATAGTGTTCCTTCTGGTTGTGAGTCAGATTGTTAGAGCAAACAGAACCAGAATTTAGGCGGCACACGTGAACAGGCAGGCACTCCTGGGTGGAGAGGCTTCATCGGCGGCTCTCATGCCCGTCATCTGGTCCGCCAGCTTCTCCCACACGGGCTGCGATGATGGCAAACTGGAAGGCCTTCCCACACCCCGCCCCCAATCGAGAGTGGAAAATAGGGGTAGGAGCCCCGTTGCGGAATATTACTCACGTTGTAAATGTTTATCGCACGCAAAAATATAGTGGCCTATTCTTTGAGAAAGATACAAAATTCTCTTCACCTCTCAACTACATTGATCAAATTTTGTTAACTCCCAGCTTTTGTACCCAGTCACGGCAAGGGTTCCCCGTCTAGTCCATGAGGCCCCTGCCTTCTCCCTCCTCAGCTCCCTCCCCATCCCTCCGTGAACCAAGTCTCCGGGGGCCTGCCCACACCAGGCCCGAGCTCCTCTAGCTCGGAGTCTGCCTGCGGCTTTCGCCAACCCTCTAGGAAACAGGGTGCCCTATGGTTCACTTGATGTTTTGGAGTCTATATTTGAATGCTCCTAAGCAGAAACCTTTTTCCTCTCTAGACCTGAACGGCATAGACTTAACTCCTGTGCAAGACACTCCCGTGGCTTCAAGAAAAGAAGATACATACGTTCATTTTAATGTGGACATTGAGCTCCAGAAGCATGTTGAAAAATTAACCAAAGGTTTGTGTTTGTAAATCATTGGCTGCTTGTGGTCTGAGTACTCAATCTTGTTCATGTTTGTGCACCTGGTGGGCCTGGCGGCAGTGGGAAAAGGAAATTCACATAGTGGTAATTGATGTGAATGAAATGTGTGTTTAAATGTGGAAGTAGGAGTTGTATTACCTAGTCGGATATAACTGTTAACGTAACAAAATACTGTTTGGTTGTAAAACACTATCACCTTCAGCAACAAAACAGAATGAAAGCCCTCCCCACCCTAAAGGGCTGGGGGAAGCCAGGCTCCCTGAGGATCAGGTCTCTAGTAGTTGAAAGAAACGTTTTTTTGTGGTTTTTTTTCCAGCTAAATGTACCAGGCAGAAAGGTCCTATAATTTGCAGTTAGTTGTGAGGAGGATGGGGAAGGACAGAAGCAAATTTCTAGGAGTGCGAAGTTGCATTTCCAAGTCACACAGTTCGTAGGCTGCCCTTCACACCCCCACCCCCCTCCCGGGAGTGTCAGTATTCTCTGAAAGCAGACTGTGTAGCCCTTTATCATGGGGGATTTGGTTGCAGTTTTTAAAATGCTTCAGCCTGAAGAGGATTGTGCAAGATACACAAGGGCTTTTTGAGCAGTTGCTGCATCCTCTACAGTATCTGGTATTTTCCTTCTCAACCCTGGTGCTGCCGTTCCTCTGCTCTGTACGACTTGGCCTGCGGTGCTTCCTACAGAGAGTGGGTCTCCGAGTGGGAGCAGCAGAAGCGCCCAGAACCTTCCTGGTTAGGTGCACGTGCTTGGGCCCCACCGAGGGCCCCCCAATGCACACCACAATGTGCGAGTTGCTGTGTTCGAGGAATGTAAAAGTAGCACGTGCTTAAGAAACAATGTTCAAGAAGTTTCAGGACAAAGTATGCCTCGTGCATAAAAATCTTAACAAAAATGTTTTCCCTGTTTACCTCCATGGCTTTGAGGTGTGTTTCTGATATGGGGTTAGCAGGCGTGTGTTATGGGCCAGTTTACCGTGTTCCTCCTTTATCGAGCTGCGCTCTCGGTGACCTGACTCGCCGCAGGGTGTGAACTCGACTCCATTCATTTTCTCCAGCTCAGGATTCGTTCTGTACAGTTACTGTAGTTCGAGGTGGCGTTAATGCTAGTGATGCGCTTTCTTCGTGTTTACCAGCACTTCAGCTAATCATCTTCGGCTGTTCTCACTGGACATTTGTCCTTCGGTCAGTCTGGCTCCAGGAGTTGGGCTGCACTCTAGAAATGCCACTCCGCTGAGGTGCAGAGGAGCTGGAGTGACGAGCACAGCCACAGCTCAGATTGCCTGACAAGGGTCCTTGGCAGTCACGCCAGCTGTTGCTCGTCTTTACACTCCTGTGGGTCAGAGAAAGCACGTCGACCAGAGGGCGCTGTCTGTGCCCACCGTGGTCTGTTTTCTCTCCTCAGGGGCAGCTATCTTCTTTGAGTTCAAACACTACAAGCCGAAAAAGAGGTTCACCAGTACCAAGTGCTTCGCTTTCATGGAGATGGATGAAATTAAACCGGGGCCCATCGTGATAGAACTGTAAGTGATGACGCAGGGAATTGGTGCGATGGAATGGGGACCAGTGTTTCTTCTCAGTGGGCAATAGTGTGCAGTCGGTCATTGGGATAGATTCCTTATCAAAGGATTTTAAACAGTGGCTTTTCTGTTGTGGTTACAGATACAAGAAACCCACTGACTTTAAAAGAAAGAAATTGCAATTATTGACCAAGAAACCACTTTATCTTCATCTACATCAAACGTTGCACAAGGAGTGTCCCTGACCTGAGGGACCTGGGACCTCTGTGACTTTCCCGCGCACTAGAAACCGTCACAGTCCTGTGCAGCCCGGCCACCCTTCTGCAGGCAGGACACGAGCCGCCTCGTGGCAGCGGGCCAGGCGCGCCCACTGCGAAGCCGCAGCGCAGAACTCCACTCCTGCGTGTCCCTGACGTGGAGACTCCTTCGGGTGCGGGCTTATCGTAGGTTTGGGAACACGTTTTCACTTTTACGTCAGTTGTGCAGTTGACTGTGTCTTTTCTAACTGACCACTGCCCCTGCCCTGCTTCCCGGACAGCGCCGTTGTGGGTAGGATGTGCTCGTCCTCAGACTTCCTACAGCAATAAGAATGTACTCGAGTTTACACATCGGATCACTTCTGCTCCTCTGCGCTGTTTGGCTTTTGAGTTAGCGTCAGACTGTGGGCCGACGTGAGGTTGTGGGAAACTGCTCTGAGACTGTTGGACCAATTACGCTGTCCAAGAAGGAACTTTCTAGGCTGCTCCTCGGGCATGGCCCAGCGTCATCCTCGTCTCATCCTTCTCCTGCTTAGAGTGTGCCTTGGCCAGACCAGTGTCCACAAGGGCGTGTTCCCGGGTGCATCTGTGGCTTCCCAGGTGGCCAGATTGTGTTTCTGAAAGCGAGCTCATTTTCAGTCCTGCCGATGCACTGTTCTCATCGCGTTGTTATTCGTAGTGGTTATAGGGTTAGTGTGGAACCATCTCAGAATAATACACTTTTTCAGGTGGGTTGCTGTCTCTGAAACCACGTAATCAAAAAATGCTTTGAGTCGGATGCAAAGGGGAACCCGCAGGAATAACTGCTGTTTTTCTGACAATGATTGTGAACCTGAAAACCTGCAGACCTCTTCTGTGAGCAACGAGTATGCAAAATTGGGAGATGCTCATTTTTTTTAATGTAGGTAGGACTGCCATTTACTTCCTATTTAGATATATCAACATGCATCCGCATGGAAATGTGCAGGTCATTCGCTTATTGTAATTTGACTATTTACATTACTTTTGACTGAATGGGGCGTAAGTAAAACCTTCAGAGGAACAAGAGGCAGCTCTTTGCCACACAGAACAGTAAGGCCTGGCGTGGGCGCTCCGTGGGTCAGATGCAGAGCCCGAGTACTTCACCGTCACTACCCGCAGTGACGGGTGCCGGCAGGAGGGGGATGCGGTGCCAGGACTTGGCCTGGCTTTCAATGAGTGTATGGCCGTCATACTGTTCAGTGTTTGCTTTTCCGACTAAGTGACCACAAGTAAGTAGTTCTAGCCCTCGCACTTCAAGAGGTCTAGTCTTTCCTTCGAGTTGTTGATTAGGTCAGTTCTCTTGACTAAGATGGGCGTCAAAAACGTCATGAGCCCAGGAGTTCTCCGCAGATTGTCTCGGGTGGGTCCACTGCACAGCGGTTCGGCCACAATGGCCGGAGGGGATGAGGAATTGCCTTAAGTTGCTGCTGATCACGCCGCTCAGACTGAGTTGTTGGCCCCCTAAACTGTAAGCTCCTCGAGGGGCAATCGCCGCGTTTTCTGCGCGTCACGTAGACCCTCCCAGGTGCTCAGCAGCACTCTGTGCCCTGTGGAGTACTCAGTACCTTCTGTCTGACGTTGCTGACGGGGCCCGGAGAGTTTTATTCCTCAGAAAACCTATTAAAATGTAGCAAAACTGATAGACTGTTCTCTTTTCTCGCAGACCGTAAGACATGTGTATTAGGGTGATCATTTATCTGGGGCACCTGCTGTTGCTCACATGCGTGTGGTCCACACGAACAGACACGCCTGTCCCCAGGGTGGCAGCAGCTCGAGCTGGACGACGCTTGTGAGTAGCTCGGCTCTGACTCGCGCCTGAGCCAGACGGTGGACGAGTGGCATCGGGGGGCAGCCAGCAGACTCCCGGCCCCTCTCTGGGTGTCAGCGGGGTGCCTGGGCCCCCGCTGCACGCAGCGGGGGTACGGCTGTCCTGGCAGGTGCGACCCGCTCCGTCAGCGATGCTCGAGCCCGCAGCTCACCGGTTTTTCAGTGGTTTAGGATACAGAGTAAATACCCAGAAAGGCTTAAGGGGCAAAAAAAAGACTGAGCTTTGACTGATTTCAAGATAGATTCTACTTTTTCTACTTGAATCATCTTCCTAGCTGGCATAATCTGTATTTAAATACTATTTCAAATTAAAAATATTAGTCATTTTGTGTCCTAAACAGACTGAAATATTTGAAAGTTGTATTTGTGATATAACCTTATTTTACATGGTTAAAAATAACTTGCTATTAACTATGGAGTTCTCCTGTTAAAATTTCTTCTATTGTTGATACTAAATGGGAGAACCTGTCAATGGAATTCTTTTGTGAAGATACATTACTTCTAAATTTTGAGGGGTTTTTTTCCCCAGTGGTCCTTGTCTTTCTAAAGTGGTACATGTATTAGTGGAAGATAGTTTCACGGTGGGTCTTTTGCTTTTTTTAGTCTTCTCAGTGGATCAACTACCTCAAGAGAGACAGGCCCTGGCAGAGGTAATGTTACAACATCGAATTCAGACAGTGGGAGAGTATAGTCCAGCAGTAAACAAGGATATCAGCTTTTTATAATTTTGATTTAATCTAAATCTTAAACTCCTTAAAACGTACTATTAAGTTACTATAATTTAAAGTGCCTAAAGTTAGTTTAGAAACATTGTTTAAAAGACATGGTGTAGCAACAGTACAATAAGACTTTTAAGTTTGGTGTAGTCCCAGATTCTTCTATGTACTGATTTTTAAATATACGCGCCATTCAAATATTAATGGAGTAGAACCAGTCAACAAAAAGAATGGGGTTCAGTCCATGGTTGCTGACCTAGGGCATGTCACAAGCCTTAAAATCCTGTCATTCTTTCTCATAATACTCTATTCTTCTGATCATTTTTGCAATATTCATTGAAAATCACAGGCAAAAAGTATGGAAGAAGTAATAGGCTCTATATTTTTTAATAAAAGAAATTTCCTTTTATGGTCACAAGACATTTTCATTTCTTTGCTGTGCACCCTTAATGCAAGAATCGCAACAGAACACCACGGGAGAGTTCTCTCTCGCTGCTCCTGTGGACACGCCTACTCAGGAAGTGAACGAGGCAGTTACAAAGCCGCAGAAGGCCGCGATGGGGGGAGGATGGGGGGCCTCCCCCGGACAAGTCCCGGCAACTGAGGCTGACCCCGCTGCCCAAGCAGACCCCCGCCCTCTGTGCCCCTTCCCAGACGGCACATGTCTCATGAGGAAACAAGCAAATGACTCAACAGACACCTGGGAAACATTGATAACCAAATTTTAATGAACTTTTACTACAAAGAACTTCAGCGGGGTGGTGGGGGGGGAGATAAAGTTCAGTGATCTCTTAGTAAACATTTTCAGTGTAACAGTCCTTGCGACCAGACAGACACTTTAAAAAATCAGGCTTATAAACACAGTTGCTCTGCATTCGGCTGGCACACACTAAAAACGGTAATAAATGGAAATACGTGTTCTTATAGCATTTCCACAGGAAATGTTCGTATTTTCCAAGACAGACTAAATCATTTAACAGTTACATACACTACATTAACTAAAACACAGGTATTTATTGCACATTTCAAAGTTGGAAGGGGGGGCTGTAGCTTACAGGGTGATTGATTTTTATTTGGGGGGGACATTTTTTAATTGTTTGGCTCAAAAATGCAGACTGCCAGGGCAGCTTAATTCTAAAAACTAGCTTTATTTAAATTTTTGGATTCTGAAGACTGTAATGAATAGTGCAGTCCACCTGCTCTCAGACCGGAAGTCGGGGGGTGGGCTACGGGCTCTGTTTCAAGGCCTGGGAGGTGTCCTGGCCACTGCCCTGCGCGGCGGGTGGGGGTTCTTCCCTGGAGCCAGAAGGCAGTAAGTCTCTTGCAGCAGGTGGAGGATAATCCTGGGGGCCGTGGGTTGGGGGTGGTGGTGGTCGGGGGCCAGGGATGAAGTACTCTCGAGGGCCAGGAGAGGTTGCCGGCCTGAAGTGAGGGTGTCCTGGCACAAACCCGCGGGGGTCGAAGGGCACATCCCGTTTTCCAGGCGGAACGCCCGGTGCGTACTCTCTTAGGCCTAGAGGCGGCCGCATGCCAGGACCTGGAAACAAAAATTGGTCGTGTGAACACACGTGCACGTGTCTGCATTTCGGTGATTCCGGGTATGTTGATCTTTCATTTCTCCCACCCCTGGAAGTCTGGGGGTGTCACCCCTCCCTTACGGGTCAGTCAGACTGAGGCCCAGCAAGTTTCAGTTACAGGCCTAGGGCCAGCCAGCCATGAAGCAACACGGGCAGGGTTAAATGTGTTTTTAAACCCTGTGTTTCCTGTGTTTCTTCTACGACATAATGTTGCCATCTGTATCTCAGAAGAGCTTGGTTTGTATTGGCAGATATGAAAAAAGGGCTTTACAAAAATGTTGATAAAGCAAATTCCATGTCTACTATTGTATCAAAATTTCAAAATCAAGGTGCCTGCCATCCTAGGAGGGCCTTCTAGCTGCACCTAATTAAATTCAGCAACATTCACCAGGTAGCTGTTACCTTCTACCTTGTCTTTAAAGCTTCTTTCCCACTCATTCCCAAGGTGGGGCATGAGGGTTCAATGTGCCTGGTATCCTAGGACCCATTTACGCTGTGTGTCTGTAGCTGCGGCCATAGGACCCCGAGCTCTCGGCAGTCGCAGTGAGTGAGATGTGCCCAGTGTGGAGCCTGGTGCACAGCCATAGACGCTCAGTAAGTGTCTGCACAAGCCATGTTCTGGCTTCCTGTGAACAGCCCCTTTCTGCCAGCTACAGGACACACTGGCTCCTTCCCATCTCAGGAGGGGATACGAGGCAGTGCCCCGTGTGCTTTAAAAACCTTCAGGAAAAAATTAAAGGGACTCAGCCAGCTTTATCTTTTGATTGCACAGCCCTGCGATAGCAACTTAAAACTGTAGTAAAGAACAGACTGAGGAGACGAGCTTTCCAAGTCAACGAGCCAATAATCATACCAAACGGTGGAGGAAAGGGCCGAGGCCCAAAAGGCCCGCAGAGTTGAGGTGGCGGTCCGTATCGAATGGGTGGTGGCACAGGGCCTCCCATGGGGGGGCTCATGAGGGGCGCCCCCGGGAAAGGAGGGGGCCCTTCTGCAGCCATGTTCACCTGCGGAGCAGAAACAGTTCGTGTTCTGAAACGCTCTAGCATGACACTCAGCAGCACCCACACCAGCACAAGATGACACCCGAGAAGCAGATGTCCGGCCCCGGCCGAGAAGCAGACCCAGAGGGAGGGACTTGGCCTTCCCGTGTTCCCACCGAGGGCACAGCAGCCAACGGGTCTCTGGGATTGTCTTATTGCAGGTCTGGACAAGTCGGAGTCCCGAGTAATTAGAAAATGAAGTCACACCACAGACACGGGGACATGTTTCTAGGGCACGTCCCTCCCATCACCACAACAGCTCGTTACCTCCCTACTGAGAATGGAGAGAACAAAGGGAATGAAAATCCATCCTCTACATGTGTAATTGCAGCCACTATTCGGAGCACCTGCGCCTGATTCTCGGACCGCTGAATGTCCAAGTGCAATTGTCTTGTTTTAAACATGAACCTGTACAGCACTGGCTAAGGTGCTGGGGTTACCAGCATGTAAAAGGCGAGGCTGGAATTCACCATCGGGTCTGCCTCCAGGCCCAAGGTCTCCCCACCCGCCTCCCTCTAACAAAGCCATTGGTCCTCTTTGAAGTCTTCCGCTGCCAAGGGGTCATGGGTCTCAGTCTAGCTGCCCTTGGAGAAGGTCTGCCGAAAGAGGTGTATTCCTGGAGTCTTGCTCTGCGGCCGGGAAGTGCTTCCCGACAGAAACGGTGTTCTGTAGGTAAGCAGGCAGGCACAGCGCCAATATTTACCTGCAGTCACCAAGTGACACTGTGTATTATGAGATGTCAGGAGATAATGACTAACCCTTCCATGGATTTTCATTTCAACCTGGGGATGCACTGTGATGCAGGATGGGAGCAGCTGTAAGAGCTGCGCCAGTAACAAGACAACAGTCTCGTGAACGGAATTTAAGGCCCACACCGGGAATGGGCAGAGGGGTCATCAGACTTCACTGTCAGCATGTTGCCTCCAGCAAGCATGCTTCTGCTACCAGGCTGTGATTTAGCTTATTCAAAGTGCCTGGTGCACCACTGGAGACAGTCTCAAACAGCAGACTTCCAAGCCCACGTGTAGTAACGATGAATTACACAATACACAATGAATTTCCTCTGCCTCAGAGCACTTAGCACCGAAGCACACAGCACAAAGGTAGAGTGACGATGCTGCACACTCTTGGTTAATTACAACGCTCTCAACAGGTTAATCAGCTAACCAAAACATACACAGGAGGAAAAAACAACCAACCATTCAGACTGCAGCGACCCAGAACCACTTCCAAGTCCAAGACCAGAGTAAGACCACACTGCCGTGCAATTTAGAGCAAAGCCATTAGTGCCCTGCACTGCATGTCCCTTCCAGAAGCACACCAAGTACAAGCCAAGTTCAGGCCTCAGCCTCTCAGTACTCACTGCTACTGGATGTTCAGCCGAAGGCGTAATGCTGGAGCCTTCCGACTCTTGGGGAACAGTGTGCTTTTTTAAAAAATAAATGACAGCACAGATATAACAACACACAGACAGGAGCTGGATGAGGCGGAGAGAGGTGCCGAAGGAAAGGAGAAGTGTTCCCTGGAATACGTACCTTGCCCTCATCCATCCCCCTGGCAGGGGAAGCACTTCTTGGGCTGCTGTTCACCATGGCAGCTGCCCCGGACCCTGGATCTGTGGAAGGCCGAGAACTGATTTAGACATATTCCGACCTTTATTCTTTGAGGAAGAATAAAAAAGTCCTCTGCCCACTGCCGCCGTGACTATAGACTCTCTGAACACACTCAGGTCCCTACCACTGGCAGGTTTCCAGAAGCCTCAGACCCCGGGGGACGAGGTAGAGGCCTGTCCACTGAACCTGGAGAAAGCACGCACGGAGCCCTGGCGTGGATCTCCAGGAGGAGTACCCAGCTGTGGACAGGTCGGGTTCACCTCTACCTGGGAAGGAACATTAAGAACAAGGCCCCAGTGCCTCTGACGGGAAATCCCACTTTACGCACGGACTTAGAGAAGTAAGATAAGAGCCTCCTGGACCGAACGGACGGCCGTAAAGCCCTCCCGCTGCAGGCCCGGCGCTGCGGCAGGGCTGGTGTTTCCAGTCCGTGCGCAACAGCTTCCACGTCTCGCTGACTGGTATAGACAGGGCTGCGCGTGGAAACACGCACAGCGTCCCACACTCTGATGCGGACTGCTGTGTGCTGCACAAATGATAAAGGCTTACGGCCACTTTCACAATATGCAAGGAAGGAGTTCCCTGGGAAGTTCATCCAAAGACAAAGGCTTGCACATCAGGGTAAAAAACTTGTAAAAAGCAAAAGCGAGAATAAATATTCATACATTTACTTACATGTAAATATATTTTACATATTTTCTTGTCTATAGTGATAATAATAAACAGATTATTTCTGTTCTAAAGCAGATCTTAAAATATGCTATTTGAAATGCTGGAAAAAACTAAGAAACCTTCTTCTCTATGTTGGACAGGCCTAAATTCTAAAATACTGTTTACATTAGAATTCTCCCGTAATAGGGGAAAAACTGGAAACAGTGTTTCCAGTGACGTGTGACCGCTCACCAAATTCACCTCGGGGCACGTCTCTCCGACTGAGCGTAGCAGACAGCGGTCTGGCGGGCGGGTCTCTCAGCGGAGGGGAGCACTCGCCCCCACTCACGGGCGACGGGCCGAAGGAGCCGTTCTGGCTCAGGGGACCTGAACGTGAGAGTCCACTGTTACACTTTCAGGCGGCCTCTTTTCTTCCTTAAGTTCTTAGGGTTATTGCTAGGGCGCCGGCGCTGCAGGAGGGCTCCTCCCTACCTCTCCGTGGCGGGTTCTGAGCGCTGGGTCTTCCGGGCATCGGTTTGACAATCACAGGTTCTCGTTGCAGCATTGCCACCTTTTGGTTTAATTCTAATAATCTTGAATATAGAGAAAGAATGGAATTCCATATGAAACAGAAGATCAATTCTTACCGGATGCCACACAGCACAGCCTTACCAAATTATGAAATGCTATGAAAAAAACTAGGTTTTTTCCAAGTTACATACTTGTGTCTCAAGTTGGCTGCTTCCCGCCTCTCTTCAGCCATGGCTCTTTCTGCAGCACGGGCTTTCAGCTGTGGAGGAAGAAAAAAAACCCAGTTCAACGGTGGCAGGTGACACACGAAACAAAGGAAAGGAAAACGAATCTTACCCAGTTATCGTGAGCTTTCTTCTCATTAGCAGCAAGCTGGAAAAGACAACAGATCGAAGAACACGTGTAGGGATTCACCATCATAAACCACAGAGAGCCCGGAGGACCCTGCAGCCGCGGCTGCCATAGTCACCTGGTCCTTGAAGGAGCGCTCGGTTTTCTGCAGCTCGTTCTCCAGCTCCTCGATCCTCCACCTGAGAACCACATGGGCTTTCAGGGACCGAGCACCACTGAGTGCAACTGGAGACAGCTTCCCCGCGTTCCCTTTAACCACACCTCATGGGTTCCATCCATCATACAGGATCATAGCTTACATGCTTACAGCAAGAGTACATATAGTAAGATCAAAACTGCATAATTTCCTTATCTATTATTTACTGGCTGGAGAGTCTATGCTGATACAGTGTAATTTCTGTAACCGCTGTGACTATCAGCCTGCATGAAGCTTTTCCCTCCTTTAACTATATCCACAGGAAACCGCCCAGAGGTGCGTGGGAGTGAGGGGTCCATCCACGCGGCATAGTCCCTTTCGTGGTTTTGGACACCCCAGACAGCAGCGCCTTCTTGAAGCAATCCCCCAGCACATTAAACGGCCCAGAGCTGTGGGCATGGACCAACTTCCCTGGCCGTGTTGCCAGTGTTGGGCGTAGGGAGATCTTTGTTAAACCTTTTCTTCCTCTGTTAACCCAGAATGTATTTTTTCTTATGAGCACTGAATGTATCGCGTCCTCTGACCATTGTGTGTGCTTCTGTGCTGTTTTGTTGTACAGACTGTAAGCGTTTTTGTTCTGTTTTGGAGCTAACAGCGGTTTCCCATCCAAGAAGCTGCACTCACTTGTAGGTCTTTATTTCTTCGGCCGCGGAAACCGCCTTTTCATCCGCAGCCGAGAGCCGCTGCTCCCTTTCGCGCCGCTCGAACTCCTCCTGACTCAGCTTCCTAGGAGAGAGCCGCTGTCAAGGGCAAGTGCTTCTCCCCCTGCACGCAGGCCGTCTGAGCACCTCCACTCGGAGGCTCCTGCCCCGCCCTCTCTCACACGCAGGCACGCAAACACCCCGCAGGCCCCACGGGCAACCTTCTCGTGCTGGAGAGGAGGAAAGCCCATTTCTCGCCAACGTGGAACGCCGGGGCCACTCTATCCGACACGGCTCCGCGTATTGGGAGAAAGCTGGACTGACCCTCTCGTCTCCACCATGGGAAGACCTGCCATCCCTCCTCTCACTTCCGTCCGGGAAGGACTGCCGCCGGATTCAAGACCGGGAAGGACCGTGATAAAGACAGTCCCCTTTAAAACAGGTCTGCCGTCTGCACGACTGACCACAACTGACCACTGAACCCTTCTGCGCCTCAGTCCCCAAACTGCTGCTGCCCGTGTCAGTGGCACTGGGGCAAGGAAAGAGACAAATCTCAGGATGGTTGTCTGTCGTACAGAAAAAGAATCCGACCGTCCCATCATTAGGGCGCTACCTCCTGGGAACTAACTGGGTTTAACCCAGTCACCTCCGAGCTTAAGATGTCAATTGACTAGAACATAGATCACAATGACAGTGATGTTTAATGGTTTAAAAATGCTGTTTCTTGTTGCTGCTGGGCCTCTTTGCACCTAATTCAGCTTCAAAAGACACTTAACCTGAAACTTTCTATGGAAGCAAAATGAGAGAAGAGCTACAGTCAAAAGGGTTTAGTAACACCAGAGAGAAAAAAAGGTTTCTGTATTCCTCACTGCCTGTTGAACACTTCAGCGAGTGCCTCGTGAGTGGCTGTGACGCGCTGGTCACCCAGGAAGATGCTGAGGTTACTACAGACAACGTTCTCTGCTTAGTCAAACCCAACAGGGCGCTCTGCGAGGCTGGACCAGAGCCAAAATCAGACAAGCAAAAAAGGCCCGTCAGGTGTCCACACAGTGGACTTAGCACACAGACTGTGAAATAACTGTGCCTTATACACTTAAGGAGGTAAATGTCAAAATTATGAATTTTTCCCTGGCTGGTGTAGCTTAGTGGATTAAGCATGGGCTTGTGAAGCAAAGGGTCTCTGGTTCAATTCCCAGTCAGGGCACATGCCTGGGTTGTGGGAAAGGTTCCCAGTAGGGGACACATGAGAGGCAACCACACACTGATGTTTCTCTCCCACTCTTTCTCCTTCCCTTCCCCCCTCTCTAAAGATAAATAAAATATTAAAAATTATGAACTTTAGCAGAGAAAAAGATAAACTAGAGAAATGAATCAGAGTAACCGAAATTAAGAACTCTGTGAAGCACGTTAGCAACATATTTGGTGACAGAAGGGAGATTTCAGCTCACTGGGAGATGGATCGGGGAAAAAAATCCAGAACAAAGGAAAGAAAAATGCAAGTTACGGAAAATGGGCTAGGAAGGGAAAAGAGCAGCCCTATACTAATTGTGGAGAGAAAATGCGTTAACAATCTTTCAAAAAGAGACAAAACTACTTTTTCAGGGAACACACATTCAGTTGCATGACAATACTGTCAACCCAGGAAAACCTTACTTTTGCAAAGCCATCTCCTTCTGCTGATAGAGCTCGTTCAGAATCTCCACCTTCTGCTTCAGGGTCTTGTTCTCGTCTTCCAGGCCAGCTTTGGCGGACTGCAGTGAGCTGCGGTCGTCTTCTAGCTTCTTCACTCGGTCTGTGAAGTGGAAAACACCCGAGCTGTGTGTGCGCGCATATGCACACGGACTGGGGAGCGAGCGGGAGGGGCTGGTGTGCGGAGGGCGAGAGACGTGAGAACGGGAAGCTGTTCTTCCTCTTTCCGATCCGAGTCTCCATCCCAGTAGTTCACAACCTACCTTCCAGGTTGCATTTTGAGGATATCGAGGCTCTCAGCTTCAACTGTAAAAGTTTCAGATCCTCTTCAAGGACGGATATTTCTGTTTGTGTCTAGAAAGTGGAGCAGAGAGAGGTATTCTTCAAAGCGAGGCCCAGTAAGAGTTCACCAGCACTTACGATGCCACACCCTGCTGTACACAAAGGACTGTACCCGAGACACGTCCATCATCTGCTTAATTTGACTTTTCATCTTCTCGCTTCGGTCTCCTAAAAAAAAAAAAAAAAGGTTTTCATTACTTCACATCCCATGCTTTTTAATTACACATTTGCTTATTTCCCCCAAACTAAACAATGACCATGTTTAAACATTCAAAGTAAGAACAAATTAACCAACAGAACTGATTAGGCTACTTGACTTTTAAGAGAATCACAAACTTAAGAGTCAAAAAGTGAAGGTACAATAAAAATGTCTGTGCAATAAAAATGTTACCCATGCTGTTTGTGAGCACGGAGGTATATACAAGGCAAAGGTCTTTCTTCGCTCTCTCATTGACCTCCGCCTGGTTAACAATCTTATTTAGGAAGACTCACTCCTCCCTTCTCCCCTTGAATCTGCTTCCGGGAGGGGTGGGAAACACTGAGTACACAAGCAGCATCCAACTTGAGAAGCAGTAGCCAGGAAACATGGATCTGTGTTAGCTTTGCTCACGGCCCCAGTTAGTTGATGGCTGTGGCCACCTCCCTACTCTGAAAATCGGCTGTGGGGCCTTAAAGCTACAGAGAGGATGAAAGTCCAGTGTCGTCCCCATGAAGGTGAGAAGTGAGATTCTCCGACTGAGTCGTGTTCGGTACTTAGCCCCAGCACCCACGGCTCGTTCTGATGAGACGGAAAAGCCGAGTCAGCACTCGCTGCACGCCCACAACACACTGCTGCACAGGGCGCGGGCGTGAGGGCACACGCGCACGGACAAACCCCAAGGTGTGTGTCCACAATGCCAAAGCCTGAGAGGAAACTCAGTCAGCCTCAGAGGGGCAGCAGTGCACTTAACTAAAGACAGGAAGACAAGAAGAGGGCAAACCTCCCCGAAACCCATCTTACCTCCCACTTCCCCATTTGCTAATTCATCCGACTCATTTCCTGTTTTATTTTGACGCTCAGATTCAGATTCACAGTCTAACCAATTCAACTGTGTGATGCAATTACTCAAAGCCTAGAAAAGAAGCAAAAGGGTATTAGGAAGAACCTCTCCGTTTTAAATCAGGCTGCATTGGAATTCATGAGAATTAAACATGCATTCAAGAGAATGAACTTACATGGATGTTATCCTCTTTTTGAGTGAGCACTACTTCCAAATCTTTCTGAGACTTCTCAAATGATTTGATTTGCTCATTGAGCTCAGTGTATGCTTTTTTCACGTCTTTGATCTCCTGCTGCAACTGAAAAGTTTAAACACATGAATTGCCAAAAGTTAGGGCTTTTGCACCGGAGACATCAGGACCATGGGAATGAGACAGGTTAGTGCGGAGCCATGGTCCTCTCCACCCTGTCACAGTGGCCTAAGGCCTTGGATGAGGGCCAAGGGAGAGTGGCCCCAACCCTCAGAACTGCAGTGGGAACCGAAGAGCTGTCAAAAAAGTCGATCCCTTTACTGCATTCTTCAGAAAATGGTGGCCATTCAAACCACTCACTTTCAGTAGGACTAGAAGGGCAGAATCTCGGTCTCCCGGACTCCAGATCCTGTAACCCTCCCCGGGTCAGTGCGGCAGCAACTGCTTCAACTAGGCAAATCCATCACTTCCTTGACACTACTCCAGTTATTAACTGGCCGGTCTTCGACAAGACAAAGACTAACAAACACTCTGCTAGCGGTAAGAAACTGTACAGAAGAACAGAAAATCCAGAACAGATGGAGAATGTACACATGTACTCAATCTGGGAGCCCAGTTTAAACTTCGTGTTTCTAACAATAGGATCCTGCACATGCACCGCACTTCCTTCAAAACAGATGCTGAAAGATGATGTCCAAAGGTAGTAACACCCAGTTCTCTGGTTCACGTAACCGATGACATTAACTGTTCTTTACCTGGTCTTTCTTCTTCTTCAGCTTAGCATTTTCTTCTTGAACCCGATGGCATTCAGACTTCACTTTCTCTTCACTAAGTTTAGCTTCATTCAGGGCGATTTGAACCTAATCCAAAACACTCCCATTAGTGAACTGATTCCAAAGAAAAACAGGAAAGAAGTTATACTTCCCCAATTAGGCATTAGGCAGTTTTCACTGCTCTACATATTCTAGCAACACAAATGTCTGCTCCTCGGGGAAACTAGGACAGCGAGCCGCTCTCTTGCAGGGACTGTAGGCAGCTTTACCTCGGAAAGTTCTGAGGCATTCATGGCAATGACGTCCTTTAACTTGTCCAGAGATCGCTTGTTCTCCAGTATCTGCCGTATGGAAGGAGAACACACAAAATATGTTAGGACTCCAGTAGAACACTGGGGTCGTCCAGGAAAGAGCCATCCTATAGATAGCAGGGAAGAGCAGAAGATCCGGATTGATCCTACAAGAGCAATCCAGAATACAGAGATGAGGAAAGAAGAAAATAACTGGAGGCCTGCGTATCTCCTGCCACCCACAACTATTGGGTAATGCAGTGGATGGCCAGACAAAAAGGTGAAAGCAAAGGAAATGAAAAATTTGCAAGTACAACAGTTCTAACCAGTGGTTTCTCCTTTGGTGTTCAGAAAAAAATCCCCAAGGTCACCTTACAAATTCTCTTGCCTGAACTAAAAAATGGCTGCACTTGAGAACAGACAAATCTCACATGCAGAAGACTTCCGAATATATTAGGAAGACGCTGCCCCCCACCCAGGAGGTGGAGCACATACTCCTCCGTCTTTTCACCCTGGGCTGTGCACAGTGGCTTCCGTCCAGAATGCAGTGTGCACGGGGTGGAAAACAGGCAAGGTGACTGCGAAGCAGCCTCAGCCAGGTGATCGAGCAGCCTAACCGGGTGTGCGACACACGGGAACCCTCTCTACCGCTGTTGCAACTTTTATTTAATTCTAGAACTATTCTAATGTTAAAAGTTTATTTAGAAGAAAACCACGCAAGCAAAGCAAAGTACCAAAACAGTTCAACTGGGCCAGTTTCTTAGTTTTTCTGCATGTCTCAGGGGTTGAGCCAAGCCATATGAAGTTACGCAGGGCTGAGGACAAAAATACTTCCTAGAACTATAAAAATACCTTGTAGTGTTAGGATTTTAAATTCCTTAAAAATGGAGAGAAGTAGGTGCAATTTCCCTGACTCGGAATCTTTAACTTACTCTCAGAAAAGGCAGAGTTCAACTCATCGAATCTACAAAATAGTTTGGGAAGAAAAAGTCTGAAACTCAGATTACATTAACACTTAGAAGCAAAACTCTTACCAGGTCCTCGTTCTTGGCATTCTGCTCTCTCTCAGATTCTAACATAAGACGCAGATTTTTAGCTTTATCATTCAGACTTTCCTTAGCTTCTTCAAGTTCCTTGATTTTATCCTACGGAAGAAGATATTAAAATTAGTAATAGTTACTCATTATTTTCCTTTTGTTTTTAGAATGTAATCTCAAAAAGAAAAGGGATTTTTACCTTATATTTAATTGCTTCATCAGAGAGAATCATATTTTGCTTCTTGGTTTCTTGGACATATTTCTTTGATTCCTTGATCTATGTAAATAAAGCAATCAAAATATAGAAATATGAACTAGAGAGCTACCAAAACTTATCTCTATTAGGTGACACATCAGAAAAGAAAGTAGTATTTTACGTGTATGATGATTGCTTCAAATTTGGATGATTTGTAGGAAATCATAGAATTTAAAAATATTATTTAAAAATAGCATAATAAGTAAACCATACAGTAGGAGAAGGAAATAATTAAAGCTGGACCCATGGAAGGGGAACTAAAAGAATTATACCTTCTGTTCATAATTCGATAATTTTTGTACAAGGTCTGCATTTTCTTTCTTGAGATTCTTTAACTTCTCAGAAATTTGCTGTTCAGTGACTGAAAGGGGAAAATACATAATATGACAAATGGTTACTAAATAAAACTGAATTGCCCAATGAGTCAGCAACAAGGCCCTCTTACCCAAACTGTGAAGGAAAAGAACTTTTTAGCGTAACTATCAGCCTTTAAAAAACGACCTGTAATTAAGCACAATAAGGGTGTACAAATATTATTAAGATTTAAGAAAACTAGAACTAGAACCTTTATTGCAATGAGATTCCAATGAGAATTATTTCAGAGACAAAAAATACAGAAAAGTATTTTAGTTTGATGAAGCAGCTTCCTCTGCAGAAACTGATCATTTCCGATATAGGCCCCTTGCAAAGAGAACCGGACAGGGAGTATAGGCCTGTTGATTTGCATCTCTTATTCCTCAAAGTATCTATTTGCATAAATGAATACACTATATTGATTAAACCATTAGCACAGAACACTGTCCACATGCAGTAAATTTCCATCCCATTGACATTTACAGTCGGCCTGCCCCAGATTAAACCTCTCATCTTCTTCCTGCTCCCAGGAAGATGGTCTCCAGTCTGCCGGTCCCCACCTGTCTCAGTGGGTGGCATCGCCATCTACTCTGTCACCCCAGCTAGCAACCTGGGGCCAGTAAGATGTTCAGGAGGCAATAAATCAGACATCAGACGTCACTATGTCTACTTCCGGTGTATAAAATTCATATCGAACACCACTCATGAGGGAACAGTAGAAACAGAGATAACAAAATCAGCCTAAATATTTACCTTGGTACACGTGACTCTTCACCTAAAAGAAAGACATGAAATTAAATTTGATGTCAAAGCTTTTTTACTATTAGAAATATTGTAGTTCTAATACAACAGTCAAATCATAACTACAAGAAAATTTAATTAACAGTTGGTTCAGACTAATGAGCCATAGAATTAGAAAAAGGTTAAAAAGCATTTCAAATGGAATTGGTGGTGATACATAAATAGCTTCTGATAGGTAAAAAACAATCAGGTAAATACTTCATTTTGCAACAAAAGATACATTTATATGTCTATTAAATAAGCACCAATCTTATTAAATAAGCACCTAACTCTAAAAATGAAAATGGGTAATATTTTCATATTAAACATACTAATGCTTCATTTACCCAAAATTATCTGATAATCCCAAATAGCCAGAATGGGGTAGAGAAATAATGATAGTTAAAAAGGACAAAATTAAATACATTATCTTTGTACTAAGATACACCTCTTCCTCTCACCAGAAAACACCTTAAAAATCCTATTCAAGGTTGACTATTGGCTGAATTTAGAAATCTAAATAATTTTCCTGAAACCCTAACCACAGTTGAACCCCTAACCAAAGTGGCCATGAACCTGAAAAAGAAAGGGGACAGCTACAGGAAAAGGCACAGATGACAAGGTCAGCTGACACCTAATTCATCTCCTAAAGACAGCACTTAATTAAATGACAATAAAATCTAAGCAACAGTTTTAAAAAAAGTGTTACTCAATGTCTTTGTAATCCATAATTTATTTCTCTTTCAAATGTCATAAATGGTGGCAAAATACTGAATTGAAAAAGAAACAAAAGGACCAGTGACTATAAAATATTCTTTATATTTATGAGTCAGGGTATAAATGAATTTAATTTACTCACAGCAAGGATGGTTCTCCAGAAGAAAATGACAAATGAAACGATTCCCAAGAAGGCAGTGATAAGGACCGGTTTCCATGGCAGCCCATAGAAGTCAGGTGCAGACTGCCCATCACCAGGCAATGTGGAAAGTAGCTGAAACAGGAATATTAGAAATAACGGGAAACCATTAACAAAAATTACAATAGAACAAACAGCCATAAAGAATTACAGAGAAATTCTAAATCAATCTGTTGAATGACTACCTCCTCAAAAACCTTCAATAGCTTCCACTGCTTCAATAAATACTGGCAGCCTCAGATTTCTTGTTTCGTTTGAAATGCTTCTCAACATTATGAATCTAAATGTCTTTAAGTGGTGCATAGATTCCAGTTGGTAATACCACACACCACATCATGTTGCCTAACGCATGTCGAGAATCCCCCTGGATCGCACTTTCAGTTTATTTTTATGACTTAAAAAGCCACATAAAACAAAAAAGTGGAAATATTATAGAAGTAATCAACTTCTGTGGCTGCAAATAAAACTGAAATGATAATGTGTAACACAAATAATGTACTTTTCCTCTAAGATTTTAAATCTTAATTCTATTCCACGCTTACCGGAAGACAAATTCTGAGGAGGTTCAGACAGCGATACCTGGTGTAGACTTCTCTGAAGTTAAGTGTCATCTACAAAACTCAATGCCCTACTTTTAAACGCTTCCTCAAAGGCAGTGCAATACACACCTGCCTGCTTCTCCGCTGTTTTCACTGCCCTCTCTCTACAAGCACACAAGTAACTGTCACTCTGGCCCCTCCCCCAACAGTGCCAGGGTCACTGGAAAAGAAAGACCCGTAGGGCCGTGATAATAGCTGTTCTAACAGCGATCACATACCAGCAAGTAACACCATGCCTGCTACACCGTTACGTGCTGAATAAAGAGCGAACAAGTGAGGACACCTTCTCAGAAACACGCTCACTGGTCCCCTTAAACAGCACTGCAGGGTCCTGCCTGGCCCGGGCCCGACACACTCCATTTCTCCCTCGCCCCATCCGTCGCGGCACCCGCTCCGCTCAGAACGCGTCCACCAGCCTGCCAGAGCTGGGGTCCCTCCCCGGGAATGGGGACCGTCACCTCCAGGAGCTTGGCTATGAGGGCGGCATAGAGCACCGACAGGGGTCCCAGAAGCTCCGAATCCCCAGCGGAAGCGGGGACAGAAGGCACAGTGGCAGGTACTGAGTCCATTGTGTAGGGACAGAAGAGCGGAGGCGACGCTTCAACGTGTAGCAGCACTGGACCCCGCTGTCTTGTCACCGTCTCCTCCCAGGGAAACGACCCGAGGGGAGGATCCTGGGGATGAACTTCGCCTTCCCCGGGACACTTTCCACCTTGCACCTTCCGTGAAACACGTCATCGGACCCGGCCCCTGGAGGAACGTAAACGTGCCGGCGGAGGCCGGGGCTGCAGTGGGCGGGGCTCCGGCGGAAGGAACCAATGGCGGAGCGGAGCGGGGGAGCGGAACGAGCCTGCGCGGAAGAAACCAAGCGCAGCGCCGTGGGTAGGTCGCAGGCTCACCTGTCTCAGGAATTGGCAGGCAGTGATCCCCGGGCGGACCCGGAGCTACCAGGGGGAGAAGGGCCGGGATCGGCCACTCACGTCTGCACGGGGCTGGACCTGTCACTGTGGGCAGAAACTCCAGACGCCTGTCGCCTCTCTTGCCGGCAGCCGGCTCCTGGGCCAGGCCTGCCTTGCCTGCATCTCCCGAGCTTTGCCATCTCCCGAGCTTTGCCCACGGATCCCCTCCCCCCGCCTCAGAGGCTCACACTGCCTCACGTTGTTGCTGACACCCCACAAGAAGCCGGGCTCTAAGGAACCAGGTCATCATCACGCCCATGCCATTGGGTTCTGCCATTCTGGGTCCCACATCTGGCAATTTACGGCCCTTAGGAAAAGAGACGAGAATTATGAAGAAACTGGGGACACTAATCTGGAGGAAAAAAGCCATTTTCTGCAGCCCTTTAATTAAGGTATGTCTTTGGGTTGGATATAAAGTCAATTCAAAACAGTGGAGCAAGGACAAGCGGGGAATGGAGGGGATGGAACAGGAGGTGAAGGCAGGTTCTGTTATTAGAGTGGTTCTGGCCCAAGAACAGACAGATCATCGAACAGAACAGAAAATCCAGGAATGAACCCAACGGCATTGGAAATCGGCGATACAGAAGTCAGCTGGGAAAAATGACGTTTTAGTAAGTGGTGCTGGCATAACTAAATAGCCATGTGGAGAATGATAAAATGGCCTTTTTCTCACTGTTTATGTGAATGAAGTCTAAATACACCAGAAAACTGAATGTAAAAATAAAAACAAGTACTAGGAAAAATATGGCTGAATTTCCCCATGTAATTATGTCTTAAAATCCAAGGGAAACGATTTATAAAACATGATTACTTAACACACAAAATGCCAAATAAAAGCTAAGTCTACAATGACAACCCATGAAAAAAATGTTTGTAACGTACACAAAGGGTTAATATTACTAAAATGTAAAGAACTTTATACGTAAGTAGAGAAAACAGCCAGCAAAGCCTATAGAAGAACAGGCTGAAAAATGAACAGACAGCTCTCAGGAAAAGCAGGAATAGATGACGAACATATGGCAACGTCCTCTGCCTCGCGCATAATAAAAGAATACAGCTGAGAGACCACTTCTCGCTTACACTGGCAAGACCCAGACATCGGACAACACAGCCTGTTGGTGAGAGAACAGAGGGAAATGGGAACTGCCCCACACCGCTGTCGCCCTGTGAAATGGCACAGCCCCTGTGAAGGGGAATGGGGCAGTATCTCCCCAGGTGACCGGTGTGTTTGCCTACTGATGGAACAATCCCACTTCCGAGATCTCAGGTGATACAAGAACAAATGCTGAAAAGACACATACACAGTAACCATGTTACCCTAACACTTCCTGTAATAACAAAACTCTGGAAATAACCAAGACGTCCATCAACAGAAGAGCTGTGGAATAAAGTATACTAGAAAACCAGAAGAAAAGAACCGGATAATTCTATACACTGCTAGGGTATGGTTTCCAGAACACTCTTTTAAAGGAGGGGTGGAAAAATATAAAATACTATCATCTAAAAAGTAAGGGGACAAACATATCTTTATGGATTTGAGATAAAACTGACATGTAATTACACGTTATGTAAAGTGCACAATTTAAGTTCTGACATATGAATCCACCTATGAAATTATCATCACATAAATCCTTCACTTCCACGTCTCCACATCCCCTGGGTAACCCCATCCACTGCCACTAGCCCCAGCCCCTCAAGCAGAACTTTCGTTGTAACAGATTAGCTCGCATTTTCTGAAGTTGTGCACAGATGGAATACTACAACATTCATTCCATTTTCTCTGCCTTCTCACACTCAGAGCAACTTGCGATTTGCTAACTTGCACACGTCAGGAGATATTCCTCTTTATTGCTCAGTAGCATTTCATTTGTGTGGCTATGTCATTATTTATTTATTCACCTGTTGATGGATATTTGTTTTTATTTCCAGTTTTGGCTTTTACAAATGGAACTGCTCTGAACAAATCTTCCTGTGAATGTGTCATTTATTTTCTCACAGATAAATGCGTGGCTGAGGGGTGGCTGGATCATTTGACAGAAACTGACACACACTTTTTTCCATGGGGTTGTACCATTTTACATCGCCCCCTACAGTGTACAGTATTTCCAGCTCCTCCACCTTCTCTAAGCTGGTATGTCAGTCTTTTTAATTTTAAAATTCTAGTAATCGAGTAGTCATAACTCACGGTGGTTTGAACTCATGCTTCCCTGATAAACATTGATACTGAGGATCTTTTCATGTGCTTATCTGCTGCCCACATAACTTCTTTGGTGAAGTGTTATTTTACTGGGTTATCTGCCTTCTTCTTAATGAGCTGTCAGAGTTCTTCCTATATTCTAGATATGCCTGTTACCAAAAATATACTTTGCAATGACTCCCTCCCAGACTATGCCTTGTCTTTTCATTCACAGTATATTGTGAAATGCAGAAGATCTTATTTGATGAAGTCCAAATTATTAATTTTTTCTTTATGAATCATGCTTCTGATGTCAAATCTGAGAATCTTTACCTAATGTTTTCCTAGAAGTTCTACTGTGTTAGGTTTACACTCAGGCCTATGAAGCATTTTGTATTAATGCATGATTATAATGAGAGATGTGGATTAGTTTTTTTTGCACAGGGCATGTCCAGTGGTTCCAGTACCACTTGGGAAAAGGGCTTTCCTTTCCCCACTTAATTACCTTTCCACCTTTGTCAGAAGTTCACTGCCATGTATGTATGGATCTATCCATAAATATCTATTCAGGATTATCTGTTCTGTTCCAAAGCTAATTACTGCAGCTTGGTAAGAAGTCATGAAATCAGGTCACATTAGTGCTGTTCTAGGTCCTCTGCATTTTTTAAATATGAAGTGTAGAATCAGACTGTCATTTGACAAAAAAAATCCTGCGGGGTTATGCTGATTCTAGTGATCGCACTGGGACGCCAGCAATGTCTGACCTACTGCCTGTCGTCGTGACAATGAGACAGTTTAACAGTAGTCACCTGACTCAGGAAGACCATACATGTCTCCGCATACTGGGGTCTTCTTTGTTTAGACCCGTCTACTTTTCCATGTAGCGCCATCAGCTTTTGCTGCATACATCTGGAAGCTCTATTATTAGGAACATAATATTCAGGATTGTTATGTTCTCTTGATTAACTGACTCTTTTATCACCAGAAAATAAACTTTCTTTACCCTGGTTTTCAGGCCTGTGGACTCTGCCTGAACTACACCTCCGGCTTTCCTGGGTCTCCAGCTTTCCGAGTGCAGACTGTGGGACTTCTAGCCTCCATATGTATGTTGGTAAATTCCTTACCATAAACCCCTTCCTGTATGCAGGCATACCTCGCCTTATGGCACTTCACAGATTGCATTCTCATCAACACTGAGGCAAGACCCTCCTCTAGCAAATGGTTTTGACTCAATGAAGGCTCAGATAATGGTTAGCATTTTTTAGCAATAAATTAGTTGGTTTTTTTAGACATAATGACCTTGTACACTTAATAGACCACGGTAATGTGTAAACACAACTT